GTCTTATCTTTTACGTCTTTTAAAACAGATTTACAAACTGCAATAAAGATTTTACTTAAAAAAGGGCCAGGATTGGAGGATGCCAAACAATCACAATTCATTGCTTTCAGAAGGTAATGGAGTGTGCAGGCAGACATTGAAAAAATCCTTGCTAGCAGCCACAATCTAAAAATAGCTGAGTGTGTGGAGTTGGAGAGACTAGTGGCAATAGCCTAAAACAAGATACTTGGAATACTTATCACCTAAGAAGGATGGGATGTAGGGCTCTAACTCGCTTTGAAGAAAGACTGGAAGTCAGTAATCACAGGAGCATGAATAGTGTGCATGGCTTTGCAGAAACACTGAAGGGATAAAAGGGATAATGTGCACTAGTACCACTACTCCATAACCTTGAGTTCTGCACAAAAGGGTACTTAAGAAAAAACCCCTCCACCTTTAATTGTGAAGAACATTTTCTCAGTAAGTGAAAAACACCCACTATTTACAGGGTCCCAGTGAGCTAATAAGTGATTTGTGAATGCTGAGTAACTCTGGTATCAATTTTTTTCTCCAGACTGCATTCAGGTACAATACTGTTATAAGTGATTTTTCTGTATGATTCTTCTAGAATATATTTATAGATACTTAAGCTGCATTTAAAAGTTAAAATTCCAGGTCTTTAAAAAGTAAATAAATCTTCTTGCTATTTTTAATATATCCACAGACAGAAAATAATCTGTCCAGGTTTTAGTTTTTCTTTAGTTTTCTTCTTGATCTTAAAACCAAATCTAGCTAATCTAGAGCTTTCTGTGGTATTTAGACAAAACTGTTCCTTTAATGCTCTGTCTTCAAAACTCTGAATAAGTAATTGTTCTTAATTGGTGGTGGAAGATCATCAGAGAGAAAAAGGGCTTTTTCCATTATTTATAAATTAATGGCTTATGTGACAGTGACATTGCTTGTAATTGTATGTTTTGTATATAATGACTTTGTTCATGTTCTTGTTTTGTATGATTTAGGCAAGATTGTGATCTAATAAATGAACTTTGTTGCCAACACTATTCAAATCATTTAACCAGGTAAGCCAGTGTTTTGCATTTTTCCTGTGACCAATTTAATTTTGTTTTTAGAAGTGTTATAGCCAGGCCAATACTGTAAAATAAGATTGTAAAACTTCCAATGTTCCATCTAGATCTGATTATGTTATAAATCATTCATATAATAAACTTTATTTGATGGGTTCTTTAATCTCATTTTAAATAGTGGTAAAAGGCTTTTCATTTAAATTCATTATGTGAATTCTGAGATTTTAAGTTACTACTGAATATTCAAAATTCATATAAAAGCAACATGAAAAAAACCCTCAAGGTTAATTTTTTTTTGCTACTATATGATTTATAAATACATTCTGAAATATTTTTGTGCTATTCTGTATTACTGGGTTATGTTACTGTTTTTTTACCAATTTGTTTTACAAAAGTTCAAGTCATAAATGTGTTATCCTGACTATTTTGAATATTATTAAAGTTTTTAATCTGGGTCAAGTATAGAGAATGGAAAGAGAAAAAATACTGAGAGATGTTAAATATACACTTTGTAAATACATTTTCCCCTTTTTCTTTCTCTCACCTAGAGACCATAAGAACAGACTTCTGTTTCAAACTGGGGACAAGATTGCCAGCACACGCAATGTGTATCTCAAGGATCTCTTGGCAACCTGTGATGTCAGAGGGAGTTCCAATGGCCAGGAATGCAGAAGTGGAGAAACCACACTCCCTGCAGAGTCCAATGAGGAGGGCAAACGACTCTGCAATGGAGATATATTTTTCATAACAAAGGTAAGTCCTGGCAGCAAGAACTTGTACAAAGAAAACCTGGTGGGAAATGATTCAGTGCTTGCTGAATCCCCAGAAGAAAACAACTCACACTTTTAAATTTGGCCCATAATACTTACTTAGTTCTGCTAAACAGTTGTGTAAAAGGCATGGAAGAGGCAAGGTACAATAGAAAATTTAAAAACCCCCTCAATTCTGGACTTTTTTGTACAATGTGTTTCAGCTGATTGTGTTCAGTGTAAATACAGTCTGTAAATACTCAAATGTATTGTAATTGAAAATGTACTGTAATTGAAATAGATAATGTTTAAATTAACATGGTCTGAAGTAAAGAGTAATGTTACAGCTTAAGGTTTCCCTGGCAGAAAACCAAGCTGGCCTGACAGTAACAGCAACAAAAAACTTTTTTTTTGCTGGGTTCAGTGAGTTGAGCAGTGAAAGTATCAGTAGTTAGGGTGGGCTCTGAACAGTGAGAACTGTTTTCCTTCAAGGTGGTCAGTGAAAGACAGTGCTTTATTGGGCTTAGCATCTTCTGAAACTTTGAGCTGGCTGATGTTGCAGCTGTTGTAATTTCAGGGCAAGCCAGAATAGGGAAGTACAGACATTGCTCCTGCTGCTGATCCAGGCTCACTCCTGAGTGTTTTGCTTTTCCTTTAGGATGCAGAAATTGATAAGCAGCGCTTGCTGACCATCAGCACCACGTATGGCTCCATGTTCACTGTGAACTACACGGCACTGAGGAAGCTGTGTCACATAAAGCATGCCTGGGCCAGAACTATTCACACATTCCAGGTAAAACCACAGCAGCTGTGAGCAGAGCTATTGCATTCTTACTCTCTCATGGAAGAATCAGAAACTTTTCTTGAAACTAGAATTCCTTGAAAGCAGGATAGAAAATATTCTCAAGAGTGTCCCCAGTTGCCTCCAACTTCCTCACTCTTGTCTTTTTTTTAACTATTTCCTGGAGATGAGCCTTTGAACCAGAGCTCTCCCCCGTTTCAGGGCTCGGAGGAGAGGACGGTGGTGTACGTGGTTGGCAATGCCGGCCGGCAGCACTGGCAGCACGTGTACACAGCTGTGACCAGGGGCCGCTGCCGCGTCTACGTCGTGGCTGAGGAGCCGCACCTCAGGAGAGCAGTAAAGAGCAAGGAGATCACCAGAAAAACGCGTTTGCAGAGATTCTTGAGAGAGGCAATTGCAGAAACAAACAACTGTCCCAAACAAATGCCCTCTCCCCTGATGAAGTGCTGGCACAGTCAAGAGCTCAAGAATCAGTCTGTTTCTGCTACTCAAGGTGCTCCTGACCCACCTGAGCTTCAGAGTGACCTCATGATAGAGGAAGGGCCATCAGTTCTCAGTAGAGAGAAGATGGGCACTTTGCAGCAAAGTCCATGTAAAAGACAAATCCCTGCATCTGAGGATGTTACAGAAATACCCACTGTAAGTATCTCCTTACTGAGAAAGTTCAAAACAAACTTTTGCACTCTCTTTCACCACTGCTAGTCACCAGGGCACTGTTACAATTGTTTTATTAGCATTTATTTAATAATTTTCAAGTTGACCAGTAAGAGGTGAAGCAGTCAAATTTGGCAGATGTCGTTGCAGAGTAAGATATGGCTAATATAGGAAAAAAATGTTAATAGTAGTAAGCTTATACATATTTTTACTCTCAGAGTGATCTGTTGGCTAGCTTAGCCTGTATCAGCTTATGGTTTGTGCACAAATGTCAGATTTTAGGTGACATGCTGTGAGAGATGTATATAAAATTTAATAATTGAAATTGATTTTTTTAAAGTCAAACCTGATAACAGATGCTTTTTTTTTAATTACATCTAATTTCTGAGCTCATGTATAAAGAACTTGTTTTGAAGAAGCTACTATATTTTAGGTCTGTTTCAAACTTGGATAACATTTTTGTTTTGTTTTGACAGACAACAGTAGAAGAATCCCCACTTGGATCTTCCAGACTTAAGAATCTGACATTGGGACAGCAAATTCCTAGGAAGCTTTTCAAAAGCTAACAGACAATTATTAATTGGTCTTGGTATGAACCTTTACCGAACCTGTTGAAGATTTTTGGGATGGAGACACTGAATATGCAGGTGCCTTTCAAAGGCTTTCTTGGGTTTGCATGTTCTGTGAAGAACAGCTTGTTTTATGCTCAGCCTCTTAAATTTTCAGTGATCCATTTTTAGTAGATTCACCGGTGTACTAGTCATCAAAAATCATGTAATTCTTTTGTTTTGCTGAAGAATGAACTTACAGGTCTTTGAGGTTCCAGATGTTCCCTTAAAAAATACACCAGGATGTATTTTGTTTTAAAGGCTCCTATTTGTCCATACCAAGATTTATCCATCTCCAAATGTTACAATAGTGATGAGTTGCACTTACTGATGTGCCAAAACTATAGATTCCTTGAGAAAAAAACCCAGTTTTTTTAGGTTTTTATGATGTGGCAGATTTGTGGCCGTGAAACTTTGATGGATTATGGATTTTAATCTTGTTACAGACATAACAAGAAAGTTGCATTCAGTGACATAGAAAACTTTTTCTATGATGTAGAACTTGCCATTGCTGCTTTAGCTAATGGTTCTGTGCTGATGATGATCTTGGTAAGAAAAGCAAAACTCAAAATCAGAGTTCAAATAACATTCCACTTTCAGTTTTCTCATGTGTACTTCGGGACTTGCTGCGTTGCAGTTTTGAGATTAATAAATTGAATGTTAAATCAAACATCAGACACATTGTACTAAAATGTGTACAACCTGCTTACCTTCAACAATTTTTTCTTTTCACATATGGTAGGAAAAAGTATACAAATATAAAAATGGTATTTTTTTCTAAAACTGGGAAAAAAATGGGAAAAATATGAAGTAGAAAACCTCTACCTCATTTTTAATGTCTTCAAATCACTGTTTATTTCAATTTATACAGTTTTTCCATACAAATATTTGCAACAGTTTGAATTTCAAAAAACATAACATAGACGATAAATATCATGCTATTAAAGTATTAAATTTGTACAAAAATACTTTACAGTTTAATACTTATTTGTTACAAATAAAAATACATATTTATGTGACTCATGAACCTTGGAGTTTTTTGTTTTGTTGGTTTTTTTTTTTTTTTTACATGATTCAGCCTATAATGTCATTCTGACCTTTTCTGGCAGTGCTGAAATAGAAATCAGAGATACTTGTGTGTGTGCAGGGCAGGTGAGCTTGTTTATGTATTGGAAACAGCAACAGGGATACATTAAACAGTTTAAATTGACCAGAAACAACTCTGTAAGGTGATTGCTTAGATATGGAAACTCTACAAATATACAAATCCAGTATCTTTATATTCACCAATAACAGTAATTACCAATAACAACTTGAATACCAGAATAAACCAATGCAGCTGCTGGTGAGCATATAAAGCAACTGGCAGTATTTTATTGCTTGGGGGAAGAGGGGAGAGGAGACAATTTGTGTGATGTGTTTGTAAAACATATTTACAATTTTATATTCTAAAAATGTGTTGCAGGGGGTAATGTTTATCATAAAGAAGGCTGAAAACAAAGCATATTAAATAGGACCTTTCTTCCTTCAAGAAACTGATTGACTTAAAAAGCTCATGTGTGACAGTACAAGTTTACAGGTTTATGGATCATTAAAGAGCTTTTGTATCAATCTCCACTGACATAATTTTAAAAAAGCCATTTTCTTTTAAAAAAAACCTTTCTAATTTGTGTGAACTCATTTCAGTTTCATTCTTTTCAGTAATCCCTCGTCAGAAGTTTTATCCCACTAAAAAAGTCTCTGCTTAAAAATCCCCACAGGTTGCAAGACATACCATTAAATATTTCATTGCATAGGGAATAACATATGTTCTAACAAAGTTTGTTGAAGTGGGGAGCAATGTTCAATGCAAGCTGCAGCTTCCTGCAAGCATTTTGTTGTAACCCTGCTTTGTCTAATAAGCACACCCTTCTCGCCAGCGAATAAAGGTTTCCAAAATCAGAGATGTAGCCATTTCCCAGGAAAACCCAGTGCAGTAAACCACTCTGCCTTGTCCATCAGACAGCAGCACCTTCCTCAGAAAAGGATTTCTGACAACAGCGTAGCCTGGACACTACTGTTTGTTAGCAGAGGTTAACTCCATGTTTTTCCCTCAAACAGCTGCTGTTGCTGGAGGGAGAAGAACATTTAGATCATGTTTAAAACATCTCCCCAGTTTCTTATTTGGGGGGAAAAAAAGGCCCTTATGTGTTTATTTTTTTTCACTGTTACTAATCCTAGATTGCTTAGAATGGAAAATGACTTGACTTAATGAAGAATGAAACTATTTCTAAAGTAACCGTGTATTAATAGAAGCCTTGAGACAGACCAACCGACCTCCTGTGCTTTTCAGTGCTGTACAGCATCTGAGCCTCAGTCTCAGAGAAATCTTGAGTGGATTTAGCACCATAATTGTCTTTTGTTACCGAATGTCCTGCTCCAGTGGTTTCTGCTATAAGGTATTTGTAGGATCCCGTGTCTCCGTGCTAACACTGGTGTGTCCGCTCTGCTGAAGGAAGGCAGCATTCGGGTCGCTCCACTCCCCACTCCCTGAAGTGTGTTCTGAGCTTCCTTTCTGAGATGCCAGGGGGTTTCTGCTAATGACCAGTTCCAGCTTATTGCCAGATTCTGCGATGAGGGGCACAACCAAACAGCAGTCAAAGTCTCTGGTGCGAACGTGGTTTACCTGATTGATGAGATCATTGATTCTTGTTACCATTTTAGGAAAAAAAAATGAGATCACAAGAGAAACTAATTTATCCTTGAGACTATGGAGATTGATTTAATTATTCCAAGTAGAGAATCGCCCACTATAAGACTACTTAATTGTGATGTCTGGTCTGAAGACATCAATTAAGTTTTCTACTCACTTTCAAAGAGAATGTAGCAGACGTGGGGATATTTACACTGGTGCTGGCTGTTGCCAGCTTTCACAATGCTCACTCCAATAATGACATTTAACAGCACATAGTTTTTCTGTCTTTCATGGTGTTTGTCAATTTAAATGCAGTAGAACACATCTGTAATTTCAATTCAGTTCAAATCTCTGGTTTTATTACATACATATAAATTTATGTAAAGTATTTTATTAGGCTAATTGAGAAATAATATGGCTTTTCCATCATAGTCCAGCTTGGCACTGTGATAAGTGTGGTGCTGAGTATTACATTATTCCAGCTATGTCAGTCAACACTTGGTTTAAACACAGAAATAATTCTCAGGTCTGTAGCAAGAAAAGCAAGAAAGAAAAATCTGTCTGGAAATGCTGTGGGAAATTGCAGCTTCCCAGTGAGCATTTGTATGTCTCCTTTGGAGTTCCAAAACAAAATATTCTGAAAGAATTTGTTGCTATAAACCTGACTGCACAGGAAAATCCAGCTTTAGTGCCACTGCATAAAAGTCCAAAGCTCCACGAAGTGCTGCCTTTTCCTGCCAGGAAAAGAAATCTGAGAAATCTACACAGCACAGTCTGTGGTGCAGAGCAATTATGGTCATTTGTCCTTCATGGTTCCCCTACACACATCCCTTCCCAGCAGAAATACACAGTGGTGCTCATTATTTAAAATATAATAAGCAATGTAGATTACAGGACCATTCCAAGTAACAAAACTGCAAAACACATACCCAAATACCCCCCAGTGTGGTTATAAACCTTTTTACAAAGTAATCTGTATGTCACATCCCTTCATGCTAAACCTGCACAGTGCCAGAAACATTACCTGTAGCAGTCTGTCATATGGTTTTAAACCTCCCAGATCACCAGGGCCAGCTGGTCGAATGTTTTTAACGTACACTCCTTTTTCCAATAAACCATCTGAGACACTGAACCCAAAGTCTTCTCCATCAGAGTCCTTGTACAAAGTTACCTGTGGAGGAGAGGTGATGTGATGAGAAAGAAAAAAAACCTTTGTCCCCATTTCCACAAGCATGAGGCAGGTTTTCTTCCTAGGATGGTTTTGGTGATTTTTTTTTTCACATTAGAGAGATCACTAACCTGCTATTTGGTACTTACAGTATTAAAGTTGTCGCCATTTTGACATTATGTTAATATTCAGAAGCCACCTTATTCTTCTGTAAATAAACAGCCCTTTTCACTTCTACTTGCCAGCTGGAAATTTGTGGTATTTAGCCCACCTTTTTGGGTGTCACTTTTTGATTCTTAGTGTTTTGTCTCTCTATTCTCTAGCTGCCAGGATCTGAGTACAAGATATGGCTTAGTTTTGCTTCAAGTATGAAGACCTGCCCTCAGTCAAACAATTGGTGTTGTGTCTTGCAATCAAGGGAATAAAGACTATTTATTAATTAAACTAGTCAGTTTAAGCTCTAGACTGCTTGGTTTTGGCCAGGCAGTGGTCCACCCTGTAAAGCCTAACCTCAGAAGTGCTCAGTATAAGAGTTATAATGCAATCTTTTAAGGAAGTACAAATAAGGCTCCTTCTGAAAGAGCTTGCAGGCAGTGTTCTTACAGTTACATAACCAAGAGGTGGTCATTAAAAAGCAGGAAATAGAGTTAGGAGAAGGTTTTTCAGGTATTCAGAAGATAAATCCTCACAGATAGTTTTGTGAATTCAGCTATTTGACAGATAAAGACTTCTTTGTGGGCAAGTGGCATGCTTAGGTTTTTATTTTTTCTTGGTCCTGCCTCACATCAGGGGTGCTGACCCACATAAGTAAATTGTGTGAGTGGTGTGCCACGGTGCACAGATACAATTGCACAGTCAAACCTGTGTTTTTAGCACTGTAGCATGTATCACCTTGGCTTCAAAATGCACTGGTTTTATCATACCTTGGCTGATAAAAATGACATTAACTGTACTAAAATTTTATAATGGCTTGGTACAAGTAATGTTCCATGTGTTGCATCTTTGTGTGTGCACCAGCCACTGAATTCCTTCCTGATGTTTCTGAATTGCAGAATCATTTGAATTGAAGGGGGCTCTGGAAAGTCTCTAGTCCAGTGTCCTGCTCAAAGCAGGCTGAGGACTTGGTCAGTATTTTGCAGAAGGATGCCAAGGCACAGCAGTGCTGGGGCACAGCACTGGTTGGTGCTGCCTTCAGAAAGCTGCTGAGCTCCTGTTTAAATTGCCAGTGTGAAAAGGGATGCCAGAACAGACCAGGCTGTCTCAAAATGAGAGTAAAGGATTTGGAATTTGGGTTTCTTTCCTGCTCTCTGCATTTTTCTTTTTTTGACTTGGGTTTAGGGGTGCATCAGCCCTGCTTTGGCTAGAATGAAATCACACTCCCTAGTAAGTTTGGTAGCTGTCCTGGGCAGCAGCTGAGAGAAGTTGGATACAAGGGCAGTGGCTGCAGCAGTAGCACCATTTTCTCTGTAGGTGTGGATGGTGCACTGTGGAGCTGCTGTGAAAACATCAGAGTCTTGTGCCGTGGGGAGCACAGACACCCCCACGTGGTGTTCGTCCCTTACTTTACCCCGGCTCATCCTCTTCCCTTGTTTTTCTCCCCCTGAACAGCACTGCAAAGCTACACCTAAAGTCCCCTTAAGCTAAAGGTTTTCTTCCTGCCAGTGGCTTTTTTGGGTATGAGCTGTCATTTCATACTTCTCAGGGACTGTGGTGTTTAAGTTTTTTGCCTTCTTTTCCTCCATTCTCCTCCAAGATAACTTCTAGCTGAACCTGCCATATGTCCTCCATCCCTGCATGAATTTTAGGAGTCAGTGGGCATTTCAGCTACTGAAAAACCTATCTGCAAATTCACAATAATTAATCATAGAATGATTTTAATTTGTATCAACAGATGCTATTATCAGCAGGACTCTAGGGAAATTCTATAATTTGCTATGAACAGAGGCTTTTGTTTGTGTTATCACAGCATGTTTAACATGGCTTTAATGAAGAGTGTGTTTGAAGCTGCTACAGAAGTGCTGTAAGACCACCATTCTGCAGGACTCAAAAAAAAAAAAAAAAAGCAAAAAAGCAGGGAGATATATTTCACTGACAGATTTGTGTGCACTTCCTAGCAGAAATTAAAAATAAATAGCTCTGGACCAAGACCCAAATTCTCTTCTAGCAAAATGACTTTTTTTCCTCATCATCACAAAGGACAGTTCTTCAAGTTAACTGCTTCTTAAAGAAGGCTTGAAAAGTTCACATGAAAATGGGATACAATGCCTAAGAGAAGAAGACTTGAAGTACTCTATCCTGTTCCAGCACAGGTGGCACGTTTTTAAAAGGAACTTCCCTTTTCTACTTACTCCTTTTCTTTTCCCGTTCTTCAGGCACTGGAGTCAAATGGAGCTGGATCCAGCCCCAGATGAACTACAAAAGCAGATTGAACAGGGGACTCCCTGAAGTCATCCAGACTGTATTCTTGTCCTAAGACAGGATCAACTGCACCTAAACCATTTCAGAGATACATTTTATCTGCCCCACATTTTCAAATCTCCAGTGATCAAGATTCCACAGTCTATTAAAGTAATCCCCTCTAGTCCTTCAGATGTTTCCCTTGGGTCTAAACTAAATCACCCTCGCTGAGGCTTAAGCCTGTTGCTATCCACAGAGAACAAGATCACTTTATTCTCTCTTTCTCTGCAGTGATGTGAAATAAGGCTTGTTTTTCTCTGGACCCTGTCCATATGGTCAACATCTTTCTTTAAGTTTCAGATCCCAAACTGGACACTATTACAGTCAAGACCTTCTCAAAGCCAAACTGGAGTGGAGAACAGCTCACCAGGGATGGTGGTCCCATTCATATGTTCTATGACAGTGCTGCTTTTTCCCCTGTTTTCAGTGAGCAATCTATCAGCAAACAGCACACACACAAGTTTGACTCTAGACACCCACAGGAAGAGCCATTACACATCAGTGCACCTTAACCTGGATCTTGTCTGTAATAATGCACGTGCTACTTCATGCCCACCTTGTCAGACAAAAAATGGAGCATTTCAAAATTACAAAGGGCATGAAAGAGGGGTTTTGCTGTAGAAGGTCAGTGGGAAGTTACTGCAATGGAGTGGCAAGGCAGGGGACAAGGAGGGGCATTGGGAATGATCATCCCAAGTCTTTTATCAATCACAACTTACACGTTTCAAAATATGTTCTAAAGTTTGTGGTTCTTCAGATCTACAGATCCTGGATTTTTACAAACTGCTTCCCTTATGGCTATCTTCTCTTGACTTTTGCTGTGCTTAACAGGAGCTTGGAACTTAAAGAAACTGGTGCTTGCTTCAGGGATGAGGTAGCAATTTAACTTTGTTGCATGTTTGACACATTTTTCAGATGGAAGTCATCTGCAGACAACTTTCTTTTGTATTATAGGTTATAATTTTTGGGTTAATTCTTCCCAGGGTAACATATATTCTTCAAAGAGAATCTCTGATAAAAGCCTTGCTATCTGAAACACTCAATTTCTACTCAATAATAGGTATGGACAAAGCCCTACCACAGGTTCCTCATCTTGACTTGCAGCAACCCTCTCAGAAAGGAATAAAACTGCAGGCAATTCACACAACACCTAAATCATGCTGGTTTATCTGTACTGCTGATCACAATTCTTTGGAAGGTCTGATCTCAATAGCAAAATCTCCATTTGGGTGATTTGTTAGACTCTTAAATTTACATCAGGAGCCTAAGGGAAAAAGAAAGTGGATTTGGAAATTTAATTCATATTTCATAAGCAATTAAATAGCTACAAATTTTAAACACAAGCTTATATATTTTTAGTCTGTGCCTATGCCTCTTCTCCCTCTCAAGTCTATGGGAAAACGCTTAATTTAAATTCACACATCTTGCACAGATCAGCTATTGAGATATTTTAACTGACTGTAATTTTAGGTTAATGACTACTTGCAATAATAATATTGAAAAATTATCTGGTCTTAGTGCATATTTTTGCTCTCAGAGGAAAGTGTGCTCTATGAAACTTCTAAAAAATGGTCTTCTGTGATTTTTAGAAAAATATTAATCTATACTATTACCTAAGTAGATAAAATCATTAAAGACATTCATTAAATTTGGGTACTGATATAGCAATACACTATCCAGCTAAATTAAAAGTTATTAAACCATCTAGAACAAATGTTTGAAGAGATCTGTAGGACACTTATCTCAATCCTAGTTTCCTCAGTATGCAGACAGTTCAAGAGCTCAACTGGTGAACGCAATGCAGAAAGAAGGAGCAGTGAAGAATTCAGGTTACTTTGCTGCACAGTGAACTCTGGCCTGTGGGCACACAGGCCCTGTCCCAGCAGGGATGCAGACCCACCACAGTGACACAGGACAAAGGCACCTGCCCTGCCCTGCCCGCGAGCCTGGCAAAGCTCCGCAGCACGGAGCCAAGTACGTGCTTGAGGACCTGCCGAGGGAGGTCTCGACAAGCTGGGCCTCAGCTTGTATCCCAAAACTGCCCATACCATCACATTTTCCCAAGTCTTCCTATTTTTCAGTGGCCCAGCTAAGTAAGACATTTGCCTGCAGAGGGCAGAACACATTGCCAGCAAGAGGATACATGAAAAACACTTCAAGGCATTTCCCTGACAGTGAAGTCATTCCTGTGGCATTGCAGCTCTTTTGGAAAATTCTGATTGAACAAGCTGTCCAAAGGAAGAGGTTATTAGTGTTAAACTAGAGGTCTAATACAAAAATAAACATGAATACATGAGAGAAAGTAGCAGGCACACTGCTACACAAGAACCAGGAGGAAAACTAACAAGTAAGAACTTGTTCAGATAAAAAGCAGTCCATGCTGCCTGGGCTAACCTGCATGTGTCATAGGGGTATAACCTCACTTTGGGGAATCAGAACATAAGAGCCAGTCACTAGTTTCTATTTTTCTTGAATGACTGTAAGGATTTGGAAAATCCTTGGTACAGGTTCAATGTTTAGATTTTTTAGAGAGGAAATGACTCTTCTCTGGGTGACAGAACAGACAGTAAAAGCAAACTCAGCATCACTTCAGCAGACAGGGGAAAACTGGGTATATTGTCTGAACAAAATCTGGAAATTACTCCAAGGAAAGGTCAAAGCAATCTTAAAAATAGTCAGCTGAAGCAAGAGAAAGCTCATGGACAGGTTATTTGTACTGCCCAGGCTCTAACAGCTAGTTACTATCACAGAATGCCACCAACTCATTAACAGAAATCTCAGGACTCCTTTCCAGGGAACGATTAATTTTAACATGGAAGACTGGCTTTGTAATCCAGAACTGTGCCTTTGTTGAATGTGAGCACACTGTGAAATGCCTACTGGCATACTTTGGTTTTCTATTTCACATTTATTCACCACTCAGAAAAAATGAGCACAGTACCTAACTCCACTGATCACTTCAATCTGGAAACAGGAATAGCTTAAAACTATCACAACACATCCTTATTGATCATATACACTGGCAATGATTTAATTTACCATATATGAGATCAATTCTTTACTATCTTCTGTAAACATTTATTTAGCCCACACTCAGCAAGTCCTTACCTTGGTGAACTCAACTGAACTACAGACTAAACTCAGGCAAATCCACAGGGTTTACAAACCATCCCAAATCTCTTGAGAATGACCAGGTGACATATTAATGAAATTTACCTGTGTTCTGCCTCCTCTCCTGAAAGATCTCAGACCTTTAAGAGGAAGGTGGGTGCAGGAAATGGGATGCTCATTCCCATCAGGAAGAACAGCATTATAATGTCCCTCAAAGTTTTGGAAACTCTTTGGTTGCTCTTATGGCCTCATGGACTTTAGACCTAAAGTGGTCAGGTGCTTGCTGTGCATATCCAAACACACTTTATCGAGTACTTGCTAGGAGTGCAGTGCACCTCCATATCACTGAGTGATTTCAACCATCTTGAGCAGTGAAAAGCTGTATAGTCTGAAGATTATTTATCCTTTTTAGAGCAAAGGAATTATAAAGAGAAAAGAAGCAATACCTAATTTGAAATAACATTCTATATTATGTATATTGAATCTCTTGTATTTGATTCAAAATGAGTGTTAATTTAAAAAAGGACCTATGGGAGCCCCAAACCCTCCTGAGTAATTTCCTGAAGAAATGTATTTTCTAGAAATTAAACTTTGCTTTCTTAATGAACACATTTTGCAGAGAAGAGTTATTGGTGCTGTCAATTCAAATTACCAGTGGATGCTCCTTTCAAAAGAGCAGTGCCTTTTGAGGATTTATTGTAAAATGAAATAGTAGACAAGGATGCATCTTACTCATTTATTTTCCCCCACAAGGATCTATCATTAATGTGTTTGTAAGAACTAATATGCATGGCCCCCAAATTACATCTGTGGAGTCATTATAAAAAGTGCTTACTGTGTTGCCATATAATTAGAGTTCCTGTGCTGAATATATTATTTCAAAGCTGTCAGAAGAAAAATTACAGACCTTGTGTAACTCCACAGGAGTTGGTGACATGATTTCTTTCATCTCTTGCTTAAATTTTCTCAGAACCATGGACTTTCTCCCCACATCTGATGGCAACGTGTTGCTACGAGTAGCTTGACTGTAATGTGGCCTTACAGAACTTCTTTCCTGGAAGCTGGCTTGTCTTCCCAGCTGGTTACGAGGTTGTGGGTTCTCATGATTCAAACTCATTGTACTTCCTGACATGATTGTGGCCTAGAGCATTAATGAACAGGTTAATTTGCAACAGAGAATGCGGGTTAAGTTTGTGGTTAATTCATAGCAGTAGGAAAAACACCTCTATTCTTTGTTAGAACACAATCACTCAGGGCACAGCAAAAGGCAAGAGGATAGATGTTCAATCTGCTTGCAAGTCACTATAAAATAAAGGACCACAACAAAACACAATAACAATATATGAACCCTATGGGCAAAAGTTTTCAGATGGCATTTCAAACTAAAATACTGAGCACCAGAACTGCTATGCTTGTAAGCCAGTCCCCTGGCAGACTGAAGAGTACGTAGTGTAACAGCTTATTTAAAAAATATTTTACACATACATAAAACAACATCTAAGTTGTGGCATAATTGCATTTGTTGGAATTGGAACTACAGGAAGGCATTTACAATTCAGACTGTGTGTGCAAGGTAAAAATGTGTGAGCCAGCAGAATATGTAGGTAGCTCTAGAGCCAGCATGGGCAGAGTGCCTGGCTCAGGGAAAACTCAGTGCAGGTGAGCTCACTGCCTGGAAAGAAACTTTGCATGACATGCACACTGCAAGAGTGGCTGCCTTAGCTCAGCACTAATACTGGCCCTGGTCTCACTGCTGGTTTTAATCTCAGGAAAAGCCTTTTGTTTTAGGTGCAAGAATACACGAAATCATGAAATATGATGAAGGGAGTCACCTCGCCCACTGAATGGAACAGACTGAACTTGAAAAGAATCCATGCACAACAAGGAGCCTTCAACCTTGGGAAAGATTTTCTGCTCTGGGGAATGGGAGGCATATGCACTTTGGCACAGCCACTGTGGGGACAGGGTGTGCTGAATTTCCTATTTATTATCTTTTCTGATGGACAACTGGAAAGGGAAATTTAAAGACCATAACCTGAACTCTGACTGGGACTGGATGCAGACAATCTGCTTGAATGGGAGATGTAAAAAATAAGGGCAAAACAAATAAATGTTTGCCTATAACTCTGGTGAGCATGTCTGTCACCCTTCCTTCTCACAGCTGCAGCACTACTTTCACTATAAGATAATGGATTGTAGCCATAACACTCTTTTGTGCTCAGTAATGACTGATATTACTGCCTGATGGAGCTAAAGCAGCCAGAGGACTTGGCAAACATCAGCCTTCTTTGCTCTTTGGTTGAAGACCTTGAAATGAAAAATGATAAGGAGTCCTTGACTATGCCATGGCACTTCATAAAGTAGAGACATGGCCACTCTCAGCATCCTGTCACACTGAATGAGTCTGGCTTTCTTTTCAGAGCTGGGGGTTGTGCAACGAGGCAATGCTATAAATGGGACATCTACGGTTCTGAATTTCACTTTTGTGAAAGGCTGAGGAAAATTCAGTGTGTTGAAGTAACTGAATACTGGTCAGCATAGATGACCTATTTCTCTTTTGGAATTATCTATTTCCATATCCTTTTATTATGCTCTGAATACTGAAAACTGCAAGAGAAGCCTGCAGTACCAAACCATATCTAACTATGGAATTAAACCAGTATAACATTTTCTCCTACATTTCTCTGGTTTTCAATAACAAACATACGAGAATCACATTTTGCTACCCAGACATGCAATACAAAAGCCATAAATCTGAAGAAGTAAATTAATCTGAACTGAAAAACTTTCACCCAGTTATGCCATTCACATTCCTCCTGGCTGCTAAAGGACTTCATATAACATAAAAATGAAAATGAGATTCTGCCAGTTTTGCAGCTCCAGGAATTTAAAAGAACATAAAAGAAAATATTTTAGGACCTTTCATTCTGTAATTGGCAGTATAATGATATAATGGTAATTGTTCTGATTAGATAACTTAGAGAAAAGGTGATTAGACAGTTAAAGACTCCCAAGTTACTCTGTCTCTGTTTTCTTCCCCCAATGCCCTCAGCACAATCTAACACAAAGCATGGTTAGATTTGTAATAAACTTAAGGATGAAATATGAAGATTTGTTACACGGTGAAGAAATTGCTGCGTAATGAACATTTCTCATACTGGCAGCTTCTTTTTCTTTCAGAGTGGTGTGATTACAGGTAAACATTTTGAGAAGCTGATTTTCTTTTATGTTCATCTTAATCAAATTAAGTTTCAATTTAAAAGACAACCTACAACATGCTAAGAAAAGCTGCATGAAGCGTCTGTCAGCGAGTGGAATGTATTGCTGCAGGAAGGTTATGCCCACTTAGAAGTTCTGTGCCATTTGCTGCCTGTACAGACAGCATCGATGGTTATGCACAGCAGAAGCTGCAAGTCAAAAGCACTGGGGTGAACATGTTTATAGAATTTTGGTTGCATTGCACAAAAGAAAACAGCTCTGGTTAGGGGCAGGGGAGGCAGCTGCACAAGCAAAAATATAAAGGTAAAGGGTAGGTACCAAGAGAGTCATGTTTCTCAAACACAGACGCCTGTCAGCCTTGTCCTGTAGAGAGGGGTTAAAGCTTTTAAATGAATTGGTGTGATTAGTGCAACTTAAAAGAAAAAAGGAGAAAATAAAATGAATGTAAACCAAACCAAAACCATTATATTTCTCTATAATTGGAAAGAAAGGTTAAGATTGTTCTACCTCTAGTTCCCTCAGAATTCCTGACTGGCCACAGGTCTCTAAATCCTCCAGAGCCTGAGACCAGAAATTTTCCTCCTGGTCAGCCTCGGTGTTATCATGGGTACCTGTGAAGCTAGATTTACAATGAGAAGTTAAAAAAATGTGGACTTTCCCCCCCCTCTAAAAATATATATTACACACGTGCCTTGCCACAGACTGCAACTTGAATGACAGAACGTTATGCAGGAGAGTGGGGAAGAGTCGCTGACCAGGAGAGGCTGGATGGACATGCAGAGCACATGACAGACAAGCCTTCTCATAACCTGGCAGTCACTAGCAGCTGGCAGGACCTGAGCAGCGAGTTGTTCAGTAAGGAGATAAATGGATTCCAAGAACAATTCAATACACTTTTTTGCTGGATTGAAACCAGGACCTCCCTTTGAAAATTAATGAATCAACCAGTAGCTGTGTGCGGAGCTGCTCCGTGCAACAAATATTTGCAATAAAACCTTTCAACCTCACAGACTTCTCCCAGGCAATATAGAAAGAGTCCTCTCTTTCTTTTTTTTTTTTTTTTTTTTTTTTTGCAAACAACATTTTGCAAAAGAGGCTTGGTGGTGCTTTTTGCTTGATTCCTTCAGCCTAAGATGCATTTATCAATTTAAACCCACCTGATCGCCATAATATAAACTGCTCCAATCATTTCAAACATAAACACAGAGAAACTTTCAGGAATGCCACTGTCTTGCATGGAAACGTAGGTCTCTGGTGTTTCATAAATGCACCCAAAACCTTATTAAAAGCACCCTTGAGCAGATGTTGGTAACAGTGATGCTTAGGTAGTTGCTCAGCAAGTGAGGTCTGATAAAAACCACAGCTCTGGGCTGTGCGACACAGCCCAAAGCAACACCTTCACAGTGTATGTGTGTATACAGGGAGGGAAGCAGGAGGGTTTTCTACTCTAGCAAGGGGAAGCAGCTCAGTAAAGGTTCACACAAGCATCAGAGCTGCTGCATGGGAGAGGGCTGATCATGTGAAAGGCACAGGGGAAGAAGGATGAGGAAGGAAAGTGACAATTTGCCCTTTTGGTGGCAGCAAGCTGTTACTTTGGAGCAGCTGCCCATGGACTGCAGCTAGTGGTGCTTAACAGCACATAAACGGAGCAAACACTATTATGGAAGCATCTGAGGCCTTGCTTGACAAACAATGTATTACTGAGAATAGCATGAATGTAATTCTGTTTACAGATTAGCTTTTAAATAGGAGAATTGCCCAGCACAAGGGAGGACAGCTTGAATGCTTCACACACATGATACTCTGCCTCAGAGATGCTTTCTTACAGCTACAATCAGTCAAGCAGACAATGGTCAGCCATTTCAATCTCTTATTGCAATGATTCTCCACCTAGCATCAGTGTCTCTTCTAAGATATTGCAATAGATACAGCAATGGCAAGAATACCTACTCAGATCACGGATGCAATTCCTCCCAGGCAAGACAAGAAAGTATTTAAAACATGATTTTAGAAAGATCCTTGACTTCTGAAATGAGCTTTTTCAATAATTCTATGTAGTTCTTTCAATAGCCAATTTTGAATACAGACTAATTTATCCATTACAATATCTCTTGTTATACTGCACATTAGTGATATCAAATGGAACTTCAGCTAATGAACAGGATAATTTGAGGCAATTGTCTGCGGCAGAAAAACCTGGATTTCCTAGAACTGGAGGTCCATTTCTTCTCTGACTTCTGTGAAATAGAAAACCATGATCCTCTATGTCTGGACTTCTTAGTGGAAGCAATTTCTTTTTCAGCTCTCCTCTCCTCTTTTGCTCTTTCTCTGAGTCTTGTCTCCTGGTGTGTGAAATCTCAACTTTTGCATGTTCATTACAGCCACATGAGTAATTTTTAGCTCAGCTACTACACCAGAAAACCAGAAGAGATACCAAAATAATTTATCTAGATGTCTTTTTTATCTAAAACCTGAGGGATTGATTTTAAATCATATGAAATATTGTTTGATCCATAATGAACATATTTGGTTTTCTGATGCTTTTTTAAAGAGCCATCAGAAATTCAGATGCATAAAAAGTCTGAAGGAAAGGCAGTAGGACAGATAATGAAGATATGGGTATCTATGATTTGATTCTTACTCCCATATGAGACACAAAATCTTTGTGTTTTTTAGTTTTTTAATCAGGAGGTTCTTGGAACTGGCAGACTCATTCCTCTAAGCATTGACGTTTTAATATGTTAAACATTTTCTCTGGAGCAGGAACTATAACAGACTTGTTCTACCTGCCAGTGATAGGTAGACACCAGGCTAGAGAGTGGTTTAAGCTCTCTGGTTTCATTTGCTTGCCCACTGAAATGTCTCTGTCAATCAACAGCAAGCTACTGTGGTGTTTTCTGCTTTTACCCTGTTTTTCTCATTTCAACTGATTTGCCTTTCTTCCCTTGTCTTCTCACACTCCCTGCCCCCCACCTCTGCCTCAGCCCAACTGGATCTCACTTTTGTGCACTTTTTGGTTTCCTACCTGGAAGTATTCCACTCTTCCAGCTGTCCCCCACCTTTCCTTTGCCCTCCAGAGGCACCTTTCCACATCTTTCCCTCTTTCTTCATGCTCCTGATGCTCTCTCCAGCTGATCTTTCCACAGATGTTTGCTTTAAATGGTTTTCTTGATTCTCTCCCAATGTCTCAGTCTCCTTCTGTTGCCACATATTCTTGGAAGCTGTGCTACACAAAAAAAAAAAAGGCAAGAAAAAATTACTTTCTACAGCTAGAGAGGAAGAGAAGTTGTTTAGCTAGAACTACAAGAAAAGTGGTGCTTTTCTCAGGATTCCTGTAACAGGCTTGAAGGACAGACATAGCCTTCTCAAACACTCCAGCACTTGGGATAGCAACACCATCAGATGTGGCACCATCTATTTTACAGATACAGCATTAAAGTAATCATTATTTTAATTTGTACTGTATCTCTCAGGTGTAAGTCACATTGACAAGCAGAACAAGACTCTTTAATGTGCATACCTTCTGCTGAACAGTGCATTAAAATGGTAATAGAACACATGCTTTTCATTTAGAAGATTCTGTATTTTACAATCCAGCTCCCTGATTCACTGCTCATCAACTTTTTCAGCCCATTACTTACATAGCTGCAAAACAGTAGGTATTCTGGAATCCATGGCTGCATCTCATTTGAGAAACAAAATACGGGCTACAACTGTGGATAAAGACCCTATTAAACTAAAAATACTAGGCTACCAAGAATGGGCTACCAAGTATGAAGAAAGCTATCTAATTTCCTTTACTAAACACTGTCCACTACTAGCCTATGAAAACTGCCAGCGTGCTTCTGCAGTAAGGACCAAAGGAGCTGGATGTGGACTGAGAATTCACACTTGCTCATATCTTAGCTGTCATCACGCCAGGCTTGTCTCCAGACAAAATGCCACAAAGCCATGGGCTGTATCAGAGGGTTTGTCATTCAAAATCTGAAAGCAGCATCTAATCTTTGCCTTGATTTGTATTTCAAAGCTTATAGACTGGACCCCATGGATTTCCTTACCCAGTATGTTTATACAGGCACCAGGAAGGTTTTTTTTTTAATAGTAAACTTGAATTTTTTGCAGACTGGGATTTCAGGCTCACTGTGCTGGCACAGCAAGAAAGTGTATTTCTCATGAAGGACATGCATGTCTGCAGGTCCTGAGGGTGGCTGCAAAGAGCACTGAAATCTCTTTTACTGTGATGCCTGTCTTCCCACGTCTGAGGAAGAAGTGTTCATTGGCAAAAATTACCCAAGTCTCTGCAGTGGATCTACTAACAAATCCAAAAGAAAAGAAAACTTAGAACAGAAGACAGATTTTTGGGTCTTTCACTATCTCCAGGAATTGTGAAGCAAATTTTTTTTCCTCAGGAAGTGCTTTTGTCTGCAGAGAAATTAACTGAAAATGAGATTTACTTCTCAGGAAAGGAGAAACAAATGTATGGCAAAATACCAATAGTTTGGAGAAGACATTTGTACCTGGATCCCTTTTTACTCCTACTGAAATGTGAATGTCTCAAGTATTTATGGAAGGAGACTGTAATTTGTGCTTCTTTGCCCAAACCAAAATGAATTTTCATAGAAGACAAAAGATTAACACACCAGCTGTCTTCAGCCACATTATCTGTAGGTTTATTTTCGCGGAGTGGAAAACAGATCAGATTTTTTCTGAAACTTGCCCAGGGAAATGCCCTAATTTTTTTGTTTGTTTATTCTTAAGGGATAAATGTTGTGCTTTATAGGCTGAAGTAACTTGAAATAAGTATAGGTCTTGAGTTTATTGTAAATGCACAGCAAGCCCTGTGGCAGGGAAGAACGATGCATCTGACGCCATGTTGTCAGAAGGCTAATTTATTACTTTATTATACTATATTATATTAAACAATACTGTACTATACTAAAGAATACAGAAAAGATACTTACTGAATGCTAAAAAATAATAATGAAAACTCGTGACTCTTTCCAGAGTCCCGACACAGCTTGGCCCCAATTGGCCAATGAATCAAAACAACTCACACCGGAGTCCAATCGAGCAATCACCTTGGGTAAACAATCTCCAAATACATTCCACATGAGCATAACACAGGAGAAGCAAATGAGATAAGAATTGTTTTTCTTTTCTCTGAGGCCTCTTGCTGCCTTTCCCAGGAGAAAAACCCTGGGCGAAGGAATCACGTTCACAGAATGTTAATGCCACAGGTGTTGGCATCATAATCCTCCATAAAGACCACTAATCCACCCCAGTAAGCTTCATTAAGTATACTGTGTCCCATATTTAATGGAAGATCTGCTATAACTTCATTAGAAAAACATAACTTCATTCAAGACAGCTAGTGTTCATTTTTGAGGCACTGCTGCAGCTGCAGACCAGAGAACAGACACTCTTCTGGGAACTTACGTGCTTGCTGCAGGTCGATCCCACTCGTCATCACTCAGCCCTGGATCATGGAACGGGTGGTTCCGTGGCTTGCCTGGAGGGGACAAACTGCCCTGCTTGGGACTCCTCCATTCATAGGCATTGAAGTTGTATCCTGAAGCCTGATAGGTGTGTCCTAAAAAGATGAATTATTATTTTGCAGAATGCATATGCTGAAATGACAGGAAAGCACACCTCTGAAGCTGGCTTCTCAAGAACTGTGGAATTGTCATTGTTACCATATCTTTTTATGTAGCCAGATTATTTGACCTAGATTATGTCTGGAATTAGGTATGCTCTAGAGTTTATCTTGTGAAAGTCCACTGAAAGCAAAATCTTAAATATATCTAACACTGTTCTCCTACTGTTTATGTCTCAGCTGCTTCTCTATTTAGTTCTAGATACTGCCACAATTTATACATTTTCCAATCTGACATCCTAGATTGAACAGTAGTGAATAAATCACATGTTATGGATGTGTTAAATATGTGTTAACATGGTCATATCCAACATGCCCAAAAGTAAAGCTAACTTATTAATAAAACTGCTTCAGATGTATTGAAAAAAGTTTCCAAAGATGCATTAAAAAATCCCATGAACATGGCTTTTCATGTGCTCTTTTTCTCGGGCTCTAAGAGCCCAGGAAAGGCCTGTCTCACAATGGGCACACATTCCCAGGACTAATATACACCATCTCCATCACCCATTTCTAAGTGTCTCAATGCTGTGTAAGTGGCATCAGATGACTTTTATACCTGCAGAGTTTACTTCTGGGTGCTTTTATCATACTAGCAAAGCAGGTATTACTTCAATAGTACTTCTTTAACTGAAATCAGGTGTAAGTTGAATTCCAAGTAGAAAGCAGCTTCCAAGTGATGTATCAAGAAGAACACACGGACCAATGGGTCACAAGCTGATGCTGATCTAGTAAGCAAAATCCATTATGGTAGAACTGATATACCTTTTATGCTTGCTATATTACTTTTTTAGCCCTGTAGTTGGTGTTTTTTTGATGTGCATATTGGATTAGGAAGTGTTATTTTGTTGGTGACTATTGTCACTGCTGCCATTCCTCTAAAGAGGGTAATTTGCTTCCATGAATCAGTCTAGACCTGTCTCCCTCAAATGCCGTGTAACTACAGAGCTGTGAGCATTTTCCAGCAAACTGGCAGACATTAACATAGGAAAGGTATTGGTTGGGAAATGTGACTGCTGTGTGGTGAAGGCTCTGGATTAGTAAAACAGAAACGTAAGACAAAGGTACAAAATGGGGTATTAATTCAAGGAGAGAAAAGACAGCTCACCAACATTAAATTGGTAATTAATAGGATAAAGCATTATCTGGTGCTCCAGAAACATCCCCCCAAACTTAGTCTGTGCTTATTGCCAGGAAGGGTTTGGAGCAAAGCCAAACTCAGCTTGATGGGTCAAGACAGAATGAACTTTTATAGAAATGGGGGCCACCACAACACCAAGGGATAAAGGCACAAATCTGTTTGCACTCAGGCTGTTTAGCAGAGGTGCCATCTATCCAGCCATGCCTGGGCTGACTTTTTTAAGGGAGGTAAAAAAAAAATCTGCCTTGAGATACTGGTTCAGCTTTGACACAAAATCCAAATCATCAGGACTCTGGAAAGCATTCTGGGCTTCAATCCCTTCCACAGCTGAATAATTTGCTCCAAATACATTCAATTCATCCAGAAAATGAGAATTACCATCCTGGCATTTATTCAGCAATAGCTCTCCTTAGCACTATCAAAAATATCAGAAGAAAATAAAATATAACTTATTTTGATAAACTGACCAACACAGTTAAGGAAAGGGGTCAAATTCATCCAAATTCCAACTCCAGTGGAAAAAGTTATTTGAGGTAAGGATCAATCTGTCCAAGTACCTCCCAAGTAATGGGAATATATGCTTTTCTATAGAAAGAAACATTTTAAAATAGTTAAATAAAACACTGAAGCTGTGTGTAAGTTACTTTTCTTGCTATCAAGAATATTACAAGATGTCTATATCCTTCACTGCCTAAATAAACATGTGTTACAAACTGAAATTATTTAAAAATCCTATCTAAAACAATACTCAGAGAGAGGTGAAAAAATTATCGTTATAGAAAATCATGCCTTTAAATGGAATGATTGTTTTTGACAGCTGAGAGTTAGGTGTTAATACTGCAGGAATGAGGAAGAAGCAAAAGATTTACAAATTATAGGCAATGACTAATGTTGCCCTTGAGCAGTTTATAATAAATCTGTTGTCATTTAAAAATTAATGCATATGGGCATCAAACTCATGAACATTTCCAGAGTGCTCTGTGCCTTGCATTGATCTGTACTTGAAGGATAAACTCATTTAGTTGTGGATGAGCTATGGACCAAGCTATTCAGATGTCAGTAAAGCTAACAAAAGCCTGTTAATGTATTGATAAATGCTTTGTAACACATCACATCCTCATGAAAGAATGAATCTGAGGCCAGCCAAGTGCAAGAAATCATGCTGCCTGCCGAGATGTGTGGTCATAATGAGACAGCAGCACATTATAAAGTACAGGGTTAAAAAGTACAGATAAAAAAGTTCTGCTTAGGGCAAAGGAAGGTCAACCATGAAGGCAGTAATTCCTGCTTTAAATGTCGATTGTGTTTTTGACAGTACCTTGATTTCCAAAGCTGGTATCAATACCAGAGCCATCCCATGACTCCACTGCACTGTCGACACTTGGGACTGCAGTGGAATAGATGTCCGAGAGCTTGCCAGATTTCTGTGCAGCAGAGCTTTCATCTTCAGCATCGCTCAGCTCGCTCACGTGACCCACAGGCACAGAAAATTTCTTGGGGCTGGTAGCTGAATAGGATTATATAAAAAAAGGTGTTGATCCTAGATTTATTGCATTTCTGAGAATATGGTTTTTACTCCTGACACTAAGCTTTTCCATGGATAGGCTAAATGCTTGTTAATCTGCAGTAACACGTGCATTAAGGACCATGGATGGTACCCTTGGCCACACTCACCATCTGTTTGCTTCTTGATTTTCAAGGTGACAGTTTCTCCTGCCATCTGTAACAAATGAATGGCTTCACTCAAAGGTTTTCCTTTCAGACTGCTACTATTTATTGCTAGGATTCTGTCTCCTATGTGAATTGCTCCAGTCCTACAATAAGAGAGAGAAATAAAACATTGAGAAGAGAGTGTAAAAGGCAACAAAGGCAATTTCTTTGCATTTTGGAGCATTAAAGTCTCATCTCCCTTTCTTTTATTTTGCTTTTATTGCTGTGTCACAGAGTAATTCTTTTGTTAGAAATGCTTAAAGCAAGTCACCTTTGTTGTAGTGACAATAGCAGAGCTGAGGCATGGTGTGGATTTCTGTGTCACTGTGACAGTTGAATTAATCACCTGTGGATGATACTCACTGCAGCCCACCTGCTCAAGAGCAATCTCAGACAGCTTACTAAGTCCTAAAATGAGTCAAGTTTCTCGAAGTCTCATAACATAAAAAAAAGCAGTGTAAGCAAGCAACCAGCTATTTCACATGCCTGGCCTTCAGGATGGGTCAATCAAGAAAAGAAAATAAATTATTTGTAAATGGTTCTGGCTGTGCACAGTGTCATGTTTTGTGTGCTGTACCTTCTCTCCGAAACCACCACCAAAACTGAAACCACCAAATTTCAACGACTCAACCAATCTGAGAAATAAAGGAATGACAGAAATCCTGATAATTTTCATTATTCTCTATCTATCAGTTACCATAACGAGCATTTCTGCTCCTCTGATAACGCTTCCTATGGTGTATGTAAGTGCACATGCAGATGCAGTGGCAGATAAGTGTATGATGAGTTCAGATAAACCTGCACACATGAAGCGCTTTCTTTGCTTATTGTACTATATAATGCTGTTGGTTCTAAAAGGATGCTAAAACGTTCCTGAGACTCAAAGTGCTCAATTTGATTGATTAGGTTTTCCTTGGTGATCTACAATAAGAATCACAATCTTCTGCCTTGTATAGTATGTACATCCTGCTCATGCTCCTGGAGCTTGGCAATGATCAAAAAACAACAGCAAAAAGATTATGAACTCAGATTTGGAGAATAATAAAAAAAATCAATTGCTAACCCATGAAAATCAGGGTTTTTAGGTGAACAAAATGAACCTCTGTCTTGACAGAGAGAACATTAAAAATAATTTTCTTTCCAACTTACCTTTCAGCTAATCCTCCTTTCGTAAGGCTGGAAATGATTATGGGATCAAAGGGCTCTTCAGTACCAGAGATTGTAATTCCAAGAGGCCCACCATAGCGCTTGAGCTCAACAGTATAAATAATTGCTCCAGAGCTCTCCTGTTCATCTGCAATAAATGCCAAGGGGATGCAATTGGTTTCTTATGAAAAAAGGAATGAAAAAATAGCATATTCAATCTAGTGACAGGTAATCAAACAACACTATCAAAGGATCACATTTCAGATACAATTCTTAATAATATTCTACTGGATTATTTTCTAAAAAAAAAAAAAATTACCTATTATGCAATTTTTTATTGCCAAAATAAAAAATACTAATACTGATTTGTTTCTTGAACTGAATGGAAGGTATTTAAAATTAAAGGTAATTTGAAAGTTTTAAACCCAAACTTTCTTAAAAGAATTCTGAGAAAAGTCAAAAGTCATTGTAAGATGAGCAGCCATATTCGTAAAATAGTTCATGTTTTTGATGGACATGTTTTGAGCTTTTTATAACAGAACCAAAAATATTTTCTGTATACTGAATTATCAACTAAACTGAATAGTAAGTTTATTAGATATTATTTCATGATACCGCACAAAGTAATTTGCATTATTTTGAAGTTTTATCTCACCAAACAATTATCAGAACTGGAAAATAATCCACCACTGAGTAAACTTAAATACAATGTATTTCCTTAAACAACACTCAATAGGCATTGCATGAACAAGATATGTGCCTGTATTTATACAATGTTCTTTACACATTATTAAAAAAATCCCAACCACAGCAAGAGAGCAATCAACTGCAGCATATTTTGAGTTGTGAAGTAACATTTTAAAATTTAAAATGCCACAATTCTCCTCAAATCAAAATAACAAATGCTTTCTAGCTCCTGTTCTGACATTGGAATTCAGCCAGGACAACTGGTCTGGTGGGCAAATTTTCTTAGATCTGTGGGTAATGACATTTTAAGCAGTTCAGTGAAAGTGGAAAATGCCTAGGATGCACATTCCATAAATGTTACTAAAACTAAAACAACTTAGAAAATTCAAAAGCTATAATTCCTGTTCCTGTAGATAGAAAAGCTTAAAAAAGCCCCAAACCTACATCACTAGCAAAGGCTCAAGGAGTTGCCTCCTTCTAATACTGAATGTGTTACTTTAGGCAGAACTGAAGGAACACTAATATCTTCGAAGGTACTTTGTTTCTTCCCAACTTTCAGAAAATGTAGCTCTTCAGCCCCCCACCTTCCCCTTCCACTCTCTTCTATTTCCTCCTTGCTATCCATGTACAGAAAATGCTACACACAGGGAATCAAAGGAGAGAAGAATTAGCGGTGCTCATTCAGAAAGAATACAGGGTTTTGGTGCCTGCTTGGGGCATTGCCATCAGTGTTTTGGTGCAGTTCACATCAACTGCACTTTGTCTGACATGCTCTTTCCAGAAGCACCCAGCTCCCCAGAGGTCACTGCAAGCCCCTGTGTGCCACACAGGGGGCTAGCTGCCCCTGCACAGCAGAATGGAGCTTTGCTTGCTTAAAGCATTTATGGAACAGCCACAAATCCCCTGGGGTCTAATGCTGGTGCTGCTCATCCAGATGTGGCACAGACATGGTACAAGACTTCAGCTGGAAGGTGAAAAGTAACACGCCAAGCTAACTGAAGATTAATAGCCAGCACTTGCTAACAAGTGACACAACACTAACATTTCTCTGCTATAAACACAAAGTGAATAAAAAGTTACTAACAATCAGCAGCCCTTCCACATGAGAGCTGGAAGCCTATAGACCTCAGTGAATGACTGGAAAGCAGACTGGTCCATTATGTCTATTTTCTGGTTAGCTGTAGGTCAGAGAATTATTGGCAGAATGTTATGCTGAGCAGAATGTTGGAGCTATCCAAGAACAGGGCATACATGTGGTCTGAATTCACCAGGAAGGCCAGTTCTGCCATGTGAAAGCAAAGAATGGTGATATTCAGGAAAGGGAGCTAGCCATTAGGTTAATCAGGATTTACGATTGTCCTCAATTTGGGAAGCTGGCAAGAAGAAAAGGAAAGAGAAAAATTGCTGGAAACATACCTCCATCTGGGGAGAAGATATAACTAAGTACTATGGTATGGGTCTCATGTTTTTGAGGTTTTCCATCTTTCTTTTCTTGTGATGCAATTCTCGTGGCTAATTCTTGGAAACCACATTTAATGAAAGTAGATCCTCTGTGCTGCAGTACCTCTGCTCTGCCCACTGGCCTCTTGCTCATCAGAATAACATCTGACCAATACAGTGACAAGGGCAAAGAGCAGCAGGGTCTGGGGAGCACCTGACATGCATCATCCTGCTGTGGCCTCAGCTGCACGCTGGCTCGGAGGAACACAGCTCTGAGACTCCCTGCCTCACCCTCCTCAAAAAAGCATGCAATGCAAAATAAAAAGAAGTTTAAATCTTAATCTTATTCTGTGTTTCACAAAACATTTTGGAGTGCTCCATGCCTACTCATCAATCAGCATTAGGCTTTTATTTTCTCATGGAATTTATTATTTTCCTCTGTTGACTCTGAGCAGCACATTTCTTCCTTTGTGAGGAAAAAAATCTTTGGTAAGTAAATTAATGGCAAACACACAAAGAATTATTTTAACTGATATATACTTTTTATTACACCTTTGCTACTGTTATGCCACTAAATATTTTTTCTTTAACATTTGAGGAGACACTAATTTTAAATTTCAAAGTACCTGAAATCTGCTGTAAATACTTTCATTTATGCTCTGACACTTAGTCAACTCTTACAAGAACAATTTGTGTAAAGAATTTTTTTAGTAGGTTTCTGAGTAGCTGTCCAGTTACACTTGAATCTGTTCAGTTACAGCAATCATGTCTGGACAAAACACTGTAGTTGTGTGAGAATCTTGATATAGATATATATCAAGCAATGTGAGTGTGTAAGAGAAAACTGTGGTATAAGAATCCCAGTGAGACTAAAATCTGTACCAGATACCATGGTGTGCAATACCTAAGAGTGCAAAGATCTTATTTTCCATGAGTGGAGACCGAAATCCCCATTTCAATTACAGTAACAATTTGCACAAGGTACTAAATGCAGCTGCCTTTGCTTTGTACTATAATACTGAGAAGATACTTGGTTTGCTTTCAAAATCAATTAGGAGGGGGAAAGAAAAAGGAAAAGAGTCTTCTAGTGGAATTCGAAACACCACTTCAACAGCTGCACTTAATTTCAAGTAATAAAGTGTAGCAGGTTGTGCCTTTTTTCTGTGAGATTATAAAGAGCTGAAGAGAAATGAATCTCCAGTTTGTGCTTTTGTCTAACACTGTAATGTAAACACAAGCAGTAATAGTAGCTATAACTGTCTTACTTCCTTTGCACTACAATGCATAACAGAACTCACTTTACCTCCAGGTAGAAAGTCTGCTCTTACGGAATCCACAGTGGGGAAGACACAAGGTGACTATCAATAGGTGTAGGTGCCAAAAATTATGGCAGGTCCATTATTCCCTTGGGCTGATCAGACATGGCTCCTCCATCAGATATCCAGCACAGTGTGTAAAATACTACTTACCTTCGAGCATGTCAAAAGTCAAATTTTTAAGTTTATGGACAAAGCACACACTACACCACTTTGCTGGAGAACTGAAGCCTAGGGATCCATGCTTTACTAACCATTATGCCAATTTTAAAAGCAGAGAAAATCCCAATACTCCAGTAAGAAACAGATCATGTTGTTTATATGGCTGCACCTGAGGGCCAATTGTCCTTTCAGTGAACTGAAGACCTAATTTTGCAGTGCAGCTCCTGCAAGCAATATAGTCAGTGAGAAAATTCAACACTTTATATACCATTAAAATTCTTTTTAGGTGACATTTTCTGATTATCATTAGCATAAACCAGACCATGTTCAGAAAAAAAAAATCACTAAAATTGAAAAGAAATCCCCTATGCTCTAGAAATCCTGAAAATGAATCTGCAATAGTCATTGCTGATACCGGAATTATCTTCGTCTTTGCGGATCTTTAACTTTACAAGGTCCTCACAGTGCTGAAGGATCTGGACAGCATCTTCCATTGAGCAGTTGTCAAGTCGAATATTATCTATTGCCAGCAACTTATCACCCAGTTCAAGTGTCCCAGTTCTGCACACAAGCAAACAAGCTTACATGAAACTCAGGTAACATTAAAAAAAAGGTGTCTGGAAAGATCTAAACATCATTAGAGGAACAAGACGGATTTTTAGGGCAATTATTTCTTAATATGCCTTCTAGTTTCTAACTTTTCACAAAAGTATTTATTTAAAAAAAACGCACAGTCTTTTACAAGCTTTCTCTGTTTAACTTGAATTTGGCTGGTTACACACATAAACAGATTTTTATTGGGAACTCTAATGTCTTACCTGTGAGCAACACTTCCTTTCTTGATATCAGAAATAACCAGAGGGTCCCCTGGTTTTCTACTTGAAGGAGCTGTAACAAAGAATATATACAGACATTTGCTTTTGTTTCTAGACATGCACATGGACTAATTTTGACCATAAACCAATACTTCATACACATTCTTTATTTGCATTAAATTCCTCCCCTACCCCTAAATTATCTGAACTTCAGGTAAAAACAAACACCAGCAGCACTGGATACTCCTCAAACATTAGAAAATCTCAGAATTGCAGTGACTGGTACAAAGTGAATTTAGCCTGGTATGTCTGAATTCAGGGTTAGACCAGGACTAGCCATGTGAAGTCATCACAGTACAGCTCCAGTGATCTATCATAAAATTCTGCACAGCTGTAACACATAGGGAAGACTTTCTGCCGTAACAATCTTTCAGTGCAACTACTAATGATGATCTTTTCCCAGAATAAATCCTATAATACCATATCCCTGACCAACAGAGCTGCTCTGGCGAAATATCTAGAGTGAGCTAGTCCACATTGTTTCCATCCACTTCTGTCCCATCCAGTGCTTAAGGCAGAGGTATGAAGGTAATGGGTTCTGGCTGAGAAGGAGGAATCCACTTCCCAATAAAGGAGATGCTGTGGACACACCCCACAGGGCTGACACACTATTACCATGTTTGCACAGGTGTAGCTTACAGCACACGGATGTTTGCTTCACTGTAACTCGCTGCTTCCTTGGAAGAAACTAGTGCCTCTTACCACGAGTAACTCTGCCCCCCTGTGCCGCTGCTGGACCTGAACAATTGTGGACTTCTACAAACTTTGTACCTACTAGAAGCCCTGCAATTCCAGTCAGTTTAGTAAAACTCCCACCAATCCTCTCCTCACACACTTATCCCTTTTTGGAAGAATCTGACATTAACGGTCAATTTTTCTATCTGTCCCTCATGGTTAAAAACATGCTCTGCTCTTCAATGCCAGGCACTGCAATTCTTTACCAAGTCATGCAAAATTATTTGACAAGTTTTCCTTGGCCAGGAAATTTGGTCTGCAATTTTGCTTGACTTTTAATTGCCTAGGAGGCAGTTAAATACACCAGAGGAAGACAACAGTGATCACTGTCTTCTTCCAGAGGACTGCTTCTTGAAGTGGCTCCACTGAATGCATTGTTTTGGAGGGTTCATCCATTTGCTGACACAAGACTGCACTGTAGATCTGATATGGCAAGCAGTCAGCTTAGAATTTGAGGGTGAGGAAGAGACATTGTTAGATATCTCTGTGGCACATGCTGTCTACTTTTGGGAAGAATATCACCTACAGCTGCTCTGTGGTGAACACAGAGACTTTTGGGACTGTTAACAAAGAGTGTGCTGATAATAAAACATTGCCATGTGGTAAAATGCTCTCAGCTCTCCTGAAAGCACTAATTAGTTTTACACATTAAGTGTTCTTCAACTGCCCCACACCATTCCTGCTCTGTGAACGGAGCCCCTCTGCGTCCTTTCACAGAAGGTACGTTTCCATCAGGCTCCCACGCCTGAACTGACAATCACCCAAAAAGCTGCCCTTATTGGAGGATCACCTACAAAATCCTGATGTCAGTTACTTTAGCAGCTCATCAATCTTCTCTCTGATGCAAAATGACAGATCTTCACCTCCAGCTACCACACGGTAAATTAATAATGACATTTCCAACACAATATGCTAACAGGTCTTGTTAACCTTAGCTGCCCTGGCTGAGACAGCCTTTGAATGTCCAAAGGAACTGTTCAAGAACTGCTAAAGAGCCATATTTCAAATGCAATGTGAAAGCCCAGAAGACAGGCATACAAGGACTTTGAATAATTTTTAGAAATTTGTCTAAACAGCATGCTTTCAGGAAATGATTATGGTGCAATTTAGAGAACAGTAATTAACTTTTTGCAAGATACGTTATTTTTGTAGCTTGTTTCTCATACTTTCATGTCATGGGTCAAATAAATTACAACACCATAATTTGCTTGAATCCTTTGGATTTGTTTTACTAATTAGTATCTTGTTAAAATTTTAGAGTATCACTTTGGTGATTTTTTTAATTCTGTGGTTTTACCCTCTGGGTTGCCTTATTCTGAGGTTATAGGCTACCCACTGCAGACTAGGGTCTGAGTCCTGAAATACTTTTTATGAAAGTGTCTTACAAAATTACCAGAACTTAAGAAAATAGTCCATTATTGTTGTAAAAAGAAGAGAGGAAGAACAACAATGAGGGAAAGAGCACAGCTCAAAGAGCAGAGCCACAAAGTACATGTGGATGCAAAGATTATGATGCTGCACACAAAGTTATCACAGTTTCAAACTGAGGAAGTGTGAACCAGCAGTATTTAAAGAGTTCTCCTGGGCTATTATTTGGTCTGGAGAATGAAAGCCTTTTTGTAGGCACCAAACAGCTCTGTGTGAAATGAATCCCCCCATAGTGAGAAGCAGATACACCACACTTCATTTTGTTATTGTTCAATGCTCATGGCATACTTCCTACAAATTATTCAAGTTGTGTTGCAGAGATAAAATCATGAATTTCCCCCGGAACATTTGTACCTTTTTGCACATTACTACAGGCTAAGATTGTCACCAAACACTGGTGAACAGATGCTGTCTCCAGCAAGAAGATTGAGTACTACCCTGACTTTACAGATAAGCAAAGGAAACAGGAAAATTTTGGTCAAAATATGACAGTTCTCAGTGAGCAATTTGAGATATCCATGCCTTTATATGCCACAATAGTTTGTAGAATATAACAGCTTCTATGTCTGAAATACAACTACTAGCATTTTCAGCAACAGCTGCAGATGAGTAGCATTTCTGTGAGTGCAACCCCATCATCTCAACATTTCTGCATAAAATCAAGCAGCCACCTGTGGAAAATCTCCACCCCCACTCCCAGAATGACTTGTCTCAGCACAAGTCTTTTGCAGAGAAAAGAAAAACTACCCTAATTTCTCCAGGGTATCATTAAACCACCTTGACCATGAGATCGCCTCCTTTATCTTTCTGCAATACTCCATCTCATTCATTATGCAGCCTCCATCCCCTTTGTTACACACCACTGTTTCATCTCTCCCCAGACAGCAGAGAAACCAGAGATCCAGTGGGAAAGCAGTATTTGACCAGTTAATATATCCACATCAATTAATGCAAGCTTGAAGTGACACTGTACAGCTTCCAGTCTCTACTTCAGAATTATTTCTGGTTTTAAGAGGCCGTTATAGATAAAGCACCTTACTACTCACCCATGTCCCGCCTTCTTGTTCAAGTCCCAGCTGCCCCCTAATCCTGATCACAGTTCAGTCTCTCCCCTCATTTGCTACCTCTGTTACAGCTTTCCACTTCTTTCCTCTCCTTGTCCCATTCTGCTTGTCCAGTGAAGATCTCATCTTTTCTCCTCCCTGTTCCAGCAGTTAGTCTTGTTCAGCTTTTGCAGAGACCTTAGAGTCTGCATGAATAACTATAGGTGGACTGAAGAGTGCATGAAGTTACTCTTTCATTCAGTACTCAGAAGTTACTCATTTCAGTACTACATTCAGTGTTGCAGCTAAATGGCTGCTCTTAAGCAAGGTGCTGTCTGTCTTTAAATTACTCTTTGATCCTGGGTCTCCATCTCAGGTCTCCACTCTATTCTACCACACTTACCCAGCCACTTGAAAGTAAGTTCAATGAAGTGTTGTCAATTCTGTGTATCAGCTGCTCCATTACATTTAAAAAACCCTCAAACAATGCTCCTTTCTTATTTCACTGCTAATTTAAACACCACCCCCCCCGCCCTCCCACACACACACACACAAAGTGACTGCAACAGATTTTGGGGTGGACATCTCACCCACCACCCAGACAAAACTCACTACTTTCAGCATGGCTTCAAACTTTGGAGTTTTATCAAACTCTGAACAAACGGAACACGCAAAGGAAAATGCTCATGTTATGGAAAAATACTTTTTATACAAAGTCAGTCTATTTATCCACAATGCTGGTTTACAGCTACTAGACATTTTTAGGAATAGCGCGATTAATAAATAGATGAAGGAGCTTTTTAAAATTACACTGATGCAGCTTTTTTGTTCCTTAAGTATTGATTCATGTGGAGCAGCTGAGAAATCTGTTGATATTTTTCTGTCTTGAAAAGAATTATTTGTAATGTTTCAAAATTAAGTAGAGCTTGCCAGGTGAAATCCCAAAATATACAGAAGCATGCTTTAGAAAATAGATTCTCATAGTCAATATATCTGTATTTTACAAATACATACACAAAGCTTGTTTCTGATGAAATACAAAAACAATAAAGCAGACTACAGTATAGTAGACTACAGCTAGTCAAAGTGACTCAGAGAAACTGATGATAGTTTGGGTGAGATTCTGATATTCTTACCAGCTTCTCAGCTTCTCATTCCTTGAGTAGTCCCATTTGCTTCACAGACATTATTTATGAAGCAAGGTGCTGCAGTTCATTACCAGTAAGGATATCAGAATCTTACATAAGACAGAAAAAAAGAAAAGAAAGCGTAAAAAAACCCAAAAAGCTGTTAACTACAATTACCAGAATCCACTAGTAAGTCATTTTACTGGACATCATTCAATGGTCTTGACAAAAAAATAATTAGCCTACGATAAAGTAGCCAGTTGCCTCAAAAACCTTTAAAAAAGGTTTTTGTCTTTAAGAAGAAAATCTATATTCATTACACGGTTTAAAGTCAATGTCAATGGCAAATAAATTGAAACAGCTTTGAGTACCACTAGCACTACTTGTAAAATGTTCCTTCTTCTAGGGAATGATTCTGCTACAAAAGCATAATCACATGCACAGGAACACTCCCCTGTGCTTTATTTGGATGATATAATTTTAAGAACTGAGACCTTCTACTTGCTCTAATCAGGTAACTGGGTGTGAAACTAGTGATATGTGAAGCATTAAATATAAAGTCACAAAATATGAAAATATGAAATAAGGTCTTTATTGAGTGTAAGTATTTGTCATTGGTAAAATTAGACAGATATTGCAGAGGTAAGGGACAGATGATAGGACTGCAATGTGTGTATGAAGGCAGCAGTAGGCAAGACCACTATACTGGGAGATAGAGAACTAACATGAACTATCCAAAACTCAGGGCCCTGGACTAACATTAACAATGATGCTCATGAAACTTTCTTCTCTCCAGCTTTTAAGGGGTTATGCTATCTAAGGGGATTTTTAAGGCTTTCTGTTATTTTTTTCTTGCATTAATAAATCTGAAACTAAAGAAAATCTCTTCTTCTATTACAAGCTTATTAGTGTTGTGTGTCACCTCAGATATGCCTTCAATAAAGCACCTGGTTGTAATTCTGTGCAAGCACTCTTGGTGCTTATTACCACAGAAAACAATTCCAAGAAAGAGAAATAAATTCTGACTCCTAACAGCTGACCTAGAAGAACTCTTGGACTTAAAAATAGACAAATGCTCACATGCCAGCCCAAAGTCAAGTTGCACTTCCTGTCTGACAAAAAATGTCTGTCTTGTCTGTCAGATTAGGTAATTTCCTGACTTTGTCACACAAATCCCAAACTAAATGGGGGATATGGAAAGTAAGAAAGGTGTTTCTCTGTAATGTTTTAATAGCACTTTCTCATTTACCATTAACTCCACCAACTTGAGAAGGAAGAGGATGAAATAGGTCTCTAGCCCTTTTAAGAGATCAAGCCCACAAGTGAATGAATCTGATCACCTCCATCCCCCCTGCTTAAGACATACCAACTCTGCCAAGTTTCCCTTAGTATTTGTTTCTTAAAAGAAATCATATACCTTTCTGAAAATATCAGTAATCAATGGCATGCTAATGTCCTAAAGTGTCCTGAAAGAAATTTGACAAAATGAATATAAAATGCTTATATTCTTCAAATCAAACTGCCTTATCTAGCAGTTAATTAGGTAAAACAGAACAACACTGAAAAGCAAGCATGACATGCAGCAATTCGAGACTTCTACCAGTTATTAATATAAACCCTTTAAAACCATGTAAATAATTTATCCTAGATAAATTGTATATTAATTAAATGCTATTAATGAGATTATTATGTATAAGAGATAATTTAATTTAAATATTAAAGATACTGCAGTATATTCACAAGAGCAGAGAGCTAAGACCAACCACATGTTACTCTGATTATATAAAGCACTAATTTTATAAAGCACTAATTTTTTGGAATTAAATTCCAGATCAGTAAGGCATGCAAAGTTTGGAAGAGGAGTGCTGAAAACTAAATTTCAAGAAAATTAGCTTTCCATTAAAAGTTTATTCCTACAGACAAAAAGAAGTAGATGTCTGCATTCCGAAAAACAACACAAATCAAATTACTAGTAAGATCATATTTTTAATAACTTTACAAACCTTTAGCAATCTTAAGAATAACATGTAAACAGAACAGCCTCGCTCCAAGTTTTCTCACTTCTCAATATTTTCATGTGCACACATACATGCACACCTAGGATTCTGCTTCTAATATCACATCACATCTTACAGAGTCTAACAGTCACTCATTCAAGTGTGCAACACAAACAAACAGGCCTGCAGTGTCTCTCATTTTAATCCTCAGCACTGAGATCCGTGCTGTACTTTTGATTAACCATATTCCACTGTGCTGGTAAAAGCTTCGAGAATAGAAGACAAAGCACAACCTTCCCACAAGACACATGAAAAACTCCAAAGGAAGACTAATAGGCAAAGAAAGGCCACAGCCATAAAAGAATGTTAATTCTGATGACACCAGATTCTGCAGTGTCAAGCCCATTAACTTTGATATGGATTGTTTTTCCTTCCGTCAAGAGCTGAATTCAGTACGCCGGAGTTCACCTGGTCAAAATCCAGCTCTAACACATTGCTTTACTGTCTCCTCACAATGTAAGTATAGGAACACTTTTAATTTCAAACCACAGCAACAAATACTTTTTGAGAAACAGACTGATGCAGGCTCTTGTGACTTTCTTCAGCAATCTCCGCAATCCCCAGTGAAAGGGGATTTTGCTGTGACCCACACATTCAAGACTGCCCAAAAGTTCTAGAGAATGAGGATGTATCTGGGTTCTGAAGCAGAAAATAACACTAGGTATGTGGATCCTCTTGTCTGTGAGACCCTTCAGTGGGGTTCTGTTCAGGAGCCTGTGAGGGACCACGACAGACTCTGCTATAAACTTCCCATCTATGGAAATGCTTTTGCATGGACTTAATTCTGCTGATTTATTTATTTATTTATTTATTTAATAACTTTAATAGGAGTTAAATACATACTATGCATGTGAAGGAATAAGTCAAACATTAGATTTGGCAAACTTCTTGCTTTGTTAACTACTCGAAGGGGAGTATAAATATATTACAGAACAGTATTTCAAAATACTAAAATACTAGAAAAAGGAAAAAGAAGTTTATACCAAAAGAAATGTTAGTCTGTAGCTACAAGACCCACTATCTGCAGATTATCCCATAAACATGGTCTGAAAAATAAGCCCCTGTACTTACAACTTATAGTGATGCCAAGTTCCACATTATGCTTCTTTGGTAGTTTCACATGAAATGTTCCACTGCTTGGTATAACTGATTCTATTAAAAAAAACCATTAAAAATGTTAGATAATTTATAAGGCACAGCAATTCCACGAGCATGGAACTATGCATGTAAGTTGATGAAATCACATCAGAGTCCCAAGGCAGGGATGAAACATGGGTGCTAAAATGAAGGAGGTATGATTTATAACTCTACTGGTAATTTCACGGTTACTCAAATTTGTAAGGTTTAACTGAATTTGTGGAGATTGCATGGGCCAGCAGCCAGCTGAGACTGCAGGTTTTTAGCTCATATGCAAGTTCTGTGAGCACATGGGAAAATTTTACTGCTGGCAGACAGCTTTTAATTAAAAGGACAGGAGATTGAGTCATAAGGATTTCTGACCTTTGTTGCTGCAGGACTAACACTTATTTTTAACTGTCCACTAAGGTACCTGCCATGGGTTTAACATCTAATAGGAAGAAACTGAATCCAGTGGTGCACACATATAATGTGTACTTGATATACACAGTTTGTGATTTCATGGGTATATTCTGCATGCTTAAACACATTACAGAATAAAGGAATGCCATTAATAATAATATTCACCAGAAAAATTCACAATGATACTTCTGGCCTTTATTAATTAATTTTCTATTATTTTATTTAGAGATACTGTAAGTGAAACACCTCAAGAGTTTTTTTGTTTATCCACCCTTTTTAATACTTTTCTGTCTTGCGAAACATTTCATTATTTGGCCTGTAGAGGATTTGTCTCTGTTTAGCACAACATTTCTATCTCAGGCCAGAAAAATGTCTGGAAATAACTCAGAGGAGAGACACTCACCAGATCTTAATACAGGACTTGTCATTTCTATTTGCTTTCAGAAGTAGACTGCAGGGCTGTGTGAAATGAGAAGGCTGTACAAGAAACCACGTTTCAAATAAGTCATGAATGGTGTAGATGTGAGAAGAAAACCTCTACCTCAGATGCCTAACACTTGCAATGTACTTGGGATTTATTTCTTCATTTTTCTTGCAAGACAGAATAACAGGACATTCATACCTGCAACATCAAATTCTATTTCCAAAGTGACCTTGTTGGTGATAGAGGAGTCTCTGAGCAGTTGATTGGCCTCATCAAATGTGCTGTCTTCTGTTGGGATACCATTTATTGACACTATTCTGTCTCCTATTTGCAGCACCCCACACCTTGGTACAAAACAATACAAAACAGTCATCAGATGTTCATGTTACCAGAAGCAGCAGTATCACAGAATCACAGAATCATTTAGGTTGGGAAAATGCCTTAAGATCACTGAGCCCTACCATTAACCCAGCACTGACAAGTTCCACCCTTTCCGTGTGGAATTGCCATATTTACACGTCTTTTAAATACCACCAGGAACAGAGTCTGAACTTCTTCCCTGGGCAGTCTGTTCCAATCCTTGACAACCTTTTTCATTGAAGAAATGTTTCCTAATATTCAATCTAAACCTCCCCTAGCTAAAATTGAGGTCATTTCCTCTTGTCCTGTTGCGTGTTATCTGGGAGAAGAGAGGAATCCCCACCTGGCTACATCCTGTTTTCAGATAGTTGTGGGGAGCTATAAGGCTCCCCTCCCTTTCCTCCAGATGAAACACCCCCAGCTCCCTCAGCTGCTCCTTGTTAGAGCTGTTCTTCAGCCCCTTCACCAGCTCCACTGCCTTTCTCTGGACACATCCAGCACATCAATGTCCTTGATATAAAGAGGGGCCCAGAACTGAGCACAGCACTTGAGGTGTGGCATCACCAGCGCCATGCACAGGGACATGATCACTGCCTTGGTTTTTGGCTGGCCACGCAGTTTCTGATATGACCCACCTGATCAAACACCTTCAACCAGTCCCTGAAGGATAACTGTGGCATAGCAGCTCAACAAGCAACCTAGGCACAGAGGCTGCAGCCCCTTTGTACCATGACACCATCAAGCACTCCCAGTATGGGTCATGCCCTCCAGGTGCTGGGGGCCAGGAAGAGGGGTCTTCATGCTTCCACCCCACCGTGGACATCATCTGCGCCTCTGACCCTGGGCTGCAGGTGAAATGGCAGCTGGTGCTTGTCTGTGCAGCTGCTATCATTCTCATGACATGATAAAATACATATATAAGCATAAAAATGTAATTGAAATAATTAGTAAGTCAAAATTCCGGTACTCCCTAAGATTTGATTCTGTACCGAAACTGAACAGAGCTGGTTATAGCTTTCCCCCGGCACGCTCAATTATCACTATTTTGACTCCACTGATTTTTCTGATTTTTTTTGCTTTGTTTTACTTTGCATGAATATAGCTTCCAGTCTCCTTCTGGAGGACTCTGTATGGTCAGAACACTGTGTTTGTCATTCTTTTATAGCTGATCAAGTGCATGAAACACCATTGTCAGAACAGAAAGTGTATTACTTGCCCCACTCCACTGAGCAAGGCCCTGCAATTTGTCACAAAATGAAAGAAAGCAACGAGCCCAAAGCACCCAAGGAATTCTCACCGAATGTATTCAGCAGTCAATTAAAGAGGCTCACCTTTCTGCAGGACTGTCAGCCTCAATGTAGGAAATGAGGGGAGGAGAGGACAAGGTCTCGGTAGCGAACACGCTGCCCTGGAGCTGTATCCCAAACCCCACTATGGGGTCAGCTGTCAGCACTACTTCTGTGGTTTCTGTGTGGACGACCTGCCCAGCCAAACCAACAGTGCTAGAGGCTAAAGACACTATAAAACAGAGCAGACCAGGAGGAAAGACATTCATACACAGCAGAAGTTCCATTATTTTTTGAAAATTGTTCTTTACAATACATCTAGTCAATGAAATGTCTGTTTAAAAGCCAATTTAGGCTAGAGTTTATAAATTATGTACAAACAGTTATGGCATATAAGATAATAGAAAACATCTGGTTGTATGCTGGAATGCAAAGAGATAGTTCTTGTTCTGAGTAAAATAAATGTGCTTGATATCCCCACTCCAAAAATCTCAGGACATCCTTGAATTCTGTTTGCATTAGGTTGGAGGCATGGATAAGCAGAACTCCAACAGGAACTAAGGGAATTGGAGGCACAAGCCCAACTGTTATTCAGGCACATTCCTCTTTTGAACATCTCACAGCCATTTATTGTTGTTAGCAACAAAGCACATGGATCAGGCTTGCTTGCAAGAAGTAAGGATGCCTTCTTGTACATGTTTGCTATAAGTCAGCAAACATGTCAGGCTAACTGGTTAATGTAAAGAAGTTGAACCACTGTTTTGGCAACCAGTGTATCTCAAGGCATTGTGAGAAAAAAGTTCTGTTGGATCTCTCAAAGCCACTGGGGGACCCTTCTGTGAGAAACTTGGGCAGCTACTCCTGTTCCCCTGCTTTACTGACACTTCCGCAGTACAGATCAAGACAAAAACAACAGTGAGATTCAATACAATTACCTGCGAAAGGAGGAGACTGCACCTTTGCCTCCCTGACCTCTGTCTAAATGTCTGTTGCATTATGGTTTGAATTCCCCCAGTGACAAACTATTGCCTTTCATGTCATATACATGTCTGCTAAGATTTAGGTAAAATGTCATAGTTTATTTGAGGGATAGTTTACCTGTGCTTTTTTTTTTCTCTTAGATGCAGGAAAAAAAAATTGACATTATAGATAATATTAGCACAACTGTAAAAAGATGTCAGAGTATACATATACTTATATATAAGTATTTTCCCACACTATGGGGTTGCAACTTTTGCTCTACATCAGTTAGTATAAATCTGATTGATGTGGCACAGTTGGCAATGACAGTTCTTTGCAAAATTTTCACTTGCCAAAAACCTCACAAGTTTCTGTTTTCTTCCAGCAAAGCTCCTTCCCACTCTAAAACTGCCTCTTCCAAATAACTGTGAATTCTTCCTCATATCTTGTTTTAAGTTTTCTTTCTCTGTGCATTATTTTAGATACTCAATAGCTTCCTTCTTACTCTTTCTTTTATCTGCACTCAATAAGATATGCTTACACACAAATGTAAATACTAAAAATCTGTTCTTAGAAACTTCCATCAGCTTTAGCATTTACTGCATGTGAGAAATAGGTTTCTCCAGCCCTCATTGCTGCAAAGGCTAAAATATAATGAAACCAAATAAATTAATATAATACCTAAGACACCTTCTAGAAACATCTTTATTTAGGGCAAAGGAAAGTTCAATTTTCTCTTTCTTAAAGGTCATATAACAATTACTTGTTAACTTCATCTCTATTTCCCATTGCTTATGTCCCTATTCCCTCCATGCAGCAGGTATCTAGTTGACTCTGTAACCTTCTTACTCTTTTTATAATGTCCTACCAGGAACCTAAATATCTAATAAAATTTATTTCAACTTCCAGGACAGTAAAAGTTTTAATTCACATTGGGAAATGAAGTCATTATCTGTGGGATTTAAAACTCACTCTAACAAACATTTTGATGATGCCAACACTTAAATACGACAATTAGGTACTTCCACTCAGAAAGAAAAGGAAAGAGAAAGAGGAACAAAAAAACCCTTCAGAGATCAAAATCATCCTTTCCTGATCATGTAACAAAAGCTATCTCCTAAGACTCTAAACACCACAGGTACCCAAACCCATGAGCACCTTGGGGTTTGTAACTCAGCAGTAAGTGTAGCAAGAAACACTGACATTTTTTGGCTCTTTGATGGATTAGAATTTTTACAGGCCAGGAAGCAGCGCTGTTGATTTCAAAAGGGGACATGGATGTGTTGGTATTTCCAGGGAACACTGGCTGCTATTGCTAGGGGTACATCCCAGCATACTTGTATAGTTCTCCTCTAACTCTTAGCAACATTCCTGGGGGCCAGTTTGCTATATGCTTTGCAGATATGTAAATCATGATTGTGAATTTTAAGATTATGTACTTGTTACTTTTATGCCTGCAGTTATACAAGAAGCAGAATAAGATGTGCTTCAAGGTGCATCTATGGATTATTATGCCTCCAGTCTCCCACTCTGACCCACAAGAAACTGAAAAATGTTCACAAAACCCTCTCCAATTTCTATCAGATATGCAACTCTAGTAAAGTAAATTTATATAAATTATGTCTCTCTTCCAACCACTAATAGGGACCTGTTACAAAATACTTCAGGATTTAAACTCTTAACAAAATAATAATCTAAGCGCTTCCACAAAGAATCCCACACCTTAAGCAAACAAACAAACAAAAAAAACAAAACCAGAGGAAGAACAAAACCTGAAAACAAGTGGCATAAAAAAAGCTTCTAGCAGCAGGGCATGCCCTCACTTTTTACAGTCACATATTTAGGAAGATCTGCATAACTAATGCAATGATTGCTAAATCATGACCATAAAAGTCTTGTAACCCCTCGTGCCATCACACTTAATCTTCATGAATTATGCCATGATCACATTATGCTGTGCAACTATTCCTAAATAATTTGCAATGTAAACTTTATAACAACCTACATATTTTTATTCCCAAGTAACATTCTAAAATATTTATTAAAATTTACCTTAATAAAACTCTCAAATGATCCAATTAGATTAAAGAAAAAATCCCTAAAATTAAGACTGTGCTACTCCTTTTCCATGAAAAGCACAGCAGTCAATCTACCTGGTTCTCACGAGTCTCCCACAAAGGGAGAGGTTTTCAAGCCTTGTCAATGGACAGTGGAAAGGTACAGGACTGGACATTCTCTATCCTGGTCCACTGCAGGACATTCAGGGTAGTGTGGGTCTCTTAAGTTGGCTGTTACTGCTGTCACAAGAATGGGTATAAGTCTACTAACAGAGTAAGGAACTCTGCATGTGCTGATAAGCAAACTCACAAAAAGAGCAAACAAGTCTGGCTGGCCAGCCAATTCCTCTGACACCAGTTGCAGTTCAGGGCTGTTGATGTAGTCACAGGTTGTAACGAGGCACTGACCACTCAGTGATGGGGCCAGTTTCAGGTATTCTGTAATGCTCTATATCAAGACCTCACAATGTGAATGGGTAATAAATGAGGCACAACTAAGCCTGCTCCTAACTTCTCCTATCTAGAGATTCGTTTACTCATAGCAGCTTGTCATCCCCAGGGCCTTCTGACTTGAAAAATCTTTTAGGTGGGCTGCAGAACTTATGTGACTGTTCCACTTAAATGCCACACCACTGGCCTTGTTTTGAGTCTTTGCAAGATAACATGGACAAGGCTTCCTTGAAGGAAAAATATCTGAAAAATTTAACAATGCAAGTTACAGTTGCACCCAAGATCCATAAGAGGATTGGCTTTGATGATTTCATCCTTTGTTGAACAGCTAAAATGTAGCATAATTGATGAATGATTTTTTGCATTGATTTTATAATTCAAATAAATTACTGCTAGTGTAACACTACTACTGTTTCTCACGTGCAGAGGAGAACATGTATGAGCTGGACCTCTACTGATACCACAGCATGACAGACACAGTATCCCCCCATGACCCAAAAGAATGCATTAGAAGCTAACATGTCAACAGATGAGTTGTTAAAAATGGCTGATCAGATTAAAAACAAAAAATGCACTTACAGGCAAATGTTATGCAAAAATATGTGCTTTACAGAAGAAATAAGAACAAGCAAGCAACAAAAACTGCAAGAAAGCAAAACCTCAGTTCCTCTCTAATGTATTCTCACAGTTCTGTAGTGACTGGCCTTAGAAGCTGCTTGTTTGCTCTGGTTTTACTATGACCATAGGGAATCCTTAAAACACAGCAGCAAGTGCTGTAATGTGCAGCAGCTCAGTTCTTTCAGAGTGGACTTCTGAGCATTGTTATCTAGAGCAAATGATTTACAGAGCAGTTCTCACCTCCCTGCTCTGGAGGAACTGAGCTGCTGTGGATCGCACAAGGATGGACAAGCCAAAAGAGAGATGGCACTTGCATGGAGCCTGGGAAAAAATGCACTGACACAGCCACACTCTTTCCAGCCCAGTGAATACTTAGCAATATGCAAAATGGAACAGCCTGAATAGATCTGTTCTGGCTTGGGAAATGACTGACTCATAGGCAATCCATGCTTTGAGTTCCAGAGAGTGGTCAAATGAGACCGTTTAGTCTTCACTGTAACTTGTTGCTCTTCCTCACCAAAATAACTGTACAGGTCATGGTGTAGCTGTAAACATTAGAACTACCTACGAGGTGCTGTGGCAAGCTCTGCCTTCCCTAATGTGACAGCTGGTTGAGCTTACCAGCAATCTGTTTTTGGCTATTCAGCTATGAATTCTATTCCCTATGGACACTGGAAGAGTTAAGAAAGGAATTTTAAAATCACTTCAGTAATGGTTTAACAAACTCTTCCAGCACTGTCTGAAGAAAACATTCCTTTATAAATTTCAGATGAGATAGCTATGCTGCATAGCATCTCCTCATCTCATTTTAGCATGGGACAAATATTTTTACCATTATGTTTCCCTACATCTACCAGAAATTCTCTCTCCTGTCCAGAATATATGTGTATTAATTAAGGTACTGTGCAACTTTTTTTCTGCATCTTCCCCCTCCTCCACCCATTAATTCACTGCACATTTTTGAGCAAATGCAGTTACCACCTACAGGAGCTTTTGAAGTCCTTCTTTTTCATCCTCCGCCTCATCATTGTCCCACGTGGGCTGGTGGAGTAGAGGCTGCGAGGTAAGGTCCCCATGTTCAGGGAACTCAGGCTGTATGCACTCATGGAGGTAGGAGAGAAGGATGAAGACACCAGAGCTGCTGTAAGAAATCAAACACTTGGCATACAGCACTCAGTCTTCACAGAAGAGCGCGGCACACGCCTGTAACTCATCAATGAATCAAACATTTTATGTATAGGCTGTGTACGATGCAGAGGAATGCTTTGTGCATTTCCAATAACAAAGACATTAAACCACACAGGTGACCCTAGGAAAAAGTAAAGCCAGCATTTCATGACAACAGTTGCTGGAAGCTAACAATGATAATGTAGACAAAAAAGATATATTCACAGTGTACAACTTATTTTAAGAAAACCATGTGAAATTAAATTTTTCAACACATATCCCCAAACTAAAGCAAATCAATATATCTAGATACACTGATTTTAGAAATGCCTTTTTGTAATAGGTAATTTCTGACAAAGATTTGTAAGCAATGCTTTGCATTCAAAAATCATGCTTTATATATACTTTTCCAATCCAATAGTCTACTCATACATAGAAGAAGAGCTGATTCATTCAGCATTTTCAAGCCTTTTCTTGTCTACAAAGGCTGCTTTGTTACAGAACTGAAAAGGTGTAAAATGTCAGAAATAACCTTGGTATGGCTATGAAAAAGTGTAGCATCCGTAAAACTGAAAAGGTTTTAGAGCCTGAAATGGGAAAAGTATGAGTGAAAGAAGAAGGGAGGGAGCAGGAGGAAGAGGGAGGAGGAGGAAGAAGAAGAAAAGTGAGTATGTCAGCAGGAAAAGGTGTGGAACATTACGAAGGCTTTTTTGAGGAGGCGCTTTCTGGAATTTCAGGGCTGGCATCCTGCAATGGTCAGGGTGGTAGGTGTTATAATGGTGGTAGGTGAGGAGGCTGCTGTGGCTGTTGGCACACGAATCCCAGGTAAGTTGCCTGTTGCTTCTTTCAACCTTCACTGCCAGCATGAAGGGATGACGGAAAATCAGAAAACAAAAGGACCAGAGAAGAGGTAAAAGTAACTGAATTGCACAAAGAAAACCAAGAAGAACTACAAACCAAAAGCAAGAGAATGAAAACAAATTGAAAATAAAATGAAATAAAATTAAAATAAAATAAAATAATAAATAACCTGGTCTTGTCTTCTTATCAGGGGGTTCTAGTTTGAGGAGCAGAAATAATATTTTTTCTCAGAAAAAATGTTTCTGATTGAGTTTTTTTGCTTTTTTCTATTTGTTTAAAAAATTATGATTACTGAATCAATTTCTAATCTCCTTCTGGCTTAGGGGCTAAGATTGCAAACTTTCTCAGAAAATACTAAGATACTACACATGACCACTCACTGACGGTTAATAACTCTCTGCTTGCATTAATCTATTTTTAAAAGACCAACCAGATACTTTACATGGCACTGCCTAGAATGGAGATACTTCCCTTCCATTTCAATTTACTGTATTGACATTTTAATTTTGCCACAATCTATTGCTGGCATTCTGCTATTCTGTGCAGTAAATGACTTCCCAATGCCAGCAGCAGGAAAACTCTATCCTGAAATCTGGTTAATAAAGAAAAGAGGTCTTATTGATTAGCTGGATTTGCAATTTTGTATTTTTGTCTTGTGGTTTTTATGTTTTTTTTTTTTTTAACTTGATCTTCAAAACTTTAAAATGATCCTTCACTGGATGAAATTTGAAACTGTATTTCATTATTTAATTGCAGGTTCTATGTGCTCTAAGTGAAGACCGGTATTTACTAAGAGAATGGGAAGCATTTCAGTTGTAAAATCTTAAAGGAAAGGGATTGAAGTCTCCATTATTAAATACAGTATATCCATCATTAAATTCAGCATGTCTGTATCCTTGCTGAACCATAAAGGCACAGTTCAAACTGGGAAGTATTCACTGAATTTTTTGTCTTAAAACACCAAGGGATTCACCCATGCTACAGAATCATGCAATGGTTTGGGTTTGGAGGGACCTTAAAGACCATCTTGCTCAAACTCTGCTACCATGGGAAGGGACACCTTTCACTAGACCAGGTGGCTCAGGGCCCCTTCCAGCCTGGCCTTCAACACTTCCAGGGATGAGGCAGCCGCGGCTTCTCTGGGTAACCTGTCCCAGTGCCTCACCACCCTCGCAGTGAAGAATTTCTTCCTAATATCTAATCTAAACTGTTTCTAAATCTGTTTCCATAAAACAGAGTTTGCTGTCTTTGTCCCATGTGCTCTACTACCTGCTATACCTACAATGGCTGCAGACTTGTCTGTCCCCACACTGGCCTTTTACAGGAGCCCAAAACCTTGAGCATTTAGGCTGGACCTACACCTTGTGTTCATATCTTACTCCACGAGACAAAATTAGGGGGGAAAAGGGCAGCCACCACAGCAAGCCCTGTGCCCTGGCAGAAGGAAAGCTGTCCTCTGGTTTCACTTCGTATTACATGAGCCCTGATGTGCTAATTGCCTGACTGTACTACTCCTTCTGACTCAAGAGTGATGCCTGTCTCTACAGGGTGGATCTAAGGAGTGCACACCAGGAAAGGGACAGGGAAAGGGGAGCACAGGGGCTCACCATGACCCTGCAGGCCCTAGAGATGCCTGACCTGGCCCTGTGTCTTCAGCCAGATTGCCCTGGACTTGCATCCCTCTATGAGAACTCTGTGCCCTGGTAAGTACTTGAATCAGAAGAATTCTTTTTTTGCCCCAATATCAGATATCAAAAGTAAGGGAGGGGTGCAATGTCAGCGCCAGGCTGGGTCTGTGCTCCTGGGGTTCCTCACCCACTGGCACCACCACCCTCAGGGACTTTGGAAAATCTCATGTTAGCCAGGAAACTCCCAGAAACACCAGAAGCAGCCTGATATGGCCTTATGTGTCTTAGAGACTTTGCATGTCTTCTCAGATGAAATCATCTCTTCAATTATGTGCACAGACAGCGAGATTTCTTGACTTTAACTACAGTGAAAAAATTAAAATCTGATAAGAACAATGTGGCCAGGTGGATTTTCATTATTTTCAAGCTGCTGTGAGCCTTGTTTAATTAAAAAGACTGCTTCCAGCAGGAAATTATCTGGCAGGCCTTGAGATTTCTTAATGTTTTATTTTCATGCCGAGAGTAGAGATAAAAATGTCCTACAAAGTGGGAAAGTACACAAATTCAGTTTGCTCAGCTTGTGGAAGGATAGTCCCAGTTCAACAAAAGTTCTGTAAAAGAAAACCCTTTTGTGTGTAACCAGACTAATTTAGTGGTAATTTCAGCTTTTCCAGTACAGGGTTGTGTATAGTAAACATAAAACTAATGGGGCAGCAAGAGAAATGAATGTCAGCAGCACAATATAAAGGAAAAAAAAAAACCATGAAAAAGAATTCTATCTTTTATAGAGCTCTTCACTTTATTTTAGGGCTAAAATTTCAGTTTATTTTATATACTGACTTTTCTGCCTGTTTTAAATTCCTAACATATTCCCACAAGAACAATAACTGAGCTCAGCAAGTACAGCCCTAATGACTCAGCTTATTCCAGATATATCAAGGGAGATTTTCACTCTCTGCAGCCTCTAGGTCATACCACACCTGATAAAAGGTTGTTTCTAAGAGGGAACTTGCTTCCATAAAGCTTGTTATATCTTGAATTGGTCATGATATTGTGGTAGCACCACTTGGTGAGGGGCTGGAATAATCTGTAAGCATCCTAGTTATTCTGCTTTACTGAAGAAAGTGACTTTATTACTTTAGGGATACTTTCCCCCAAAAGATGCTCTTATGTATCACCTTTTGCTGATCACCTTGATATGATTTTGTAACAGACAGTTCTTAACTCTGGCATAGCTAGAGCATTGCTTTTTCTAAGCATCTACACTGGTTACTAGAATATTACCAGCATCAATCTGTTATAAATGTTGGTTTACAAACCAACTGCTTCAAGTAACACAATCATCTACACAAATCACTGGCCCCAGCATTTGTCTTCCCCCAAAAAAAACAGTCTTCAAAATTTTTTAACCATCAGAAATTAATTGCATGACATCTTTGCTTCAAAGAAAAAGAAAGATTTGTTTGCAATGTACTGTCACAACTGAAAGGAATGGAAGTACATTGCAAATTTGGGCTTCAACTCATTCTGCTTGTGCAGTATCACTCTGCTCCTCGTGGCTCTAAGCAGCTTAAGTAGAAAAGGGAAAAGAGCTGAGTACAGGGAGAACATGTAATTGCAAAGGTTACTTTTTATTCACCCTGGTCTAGGAGAAACTAATGTCTCCTCTATCACTAGTTCAGTATTCCCTACTCTGAGAAACTGTCTAGAACATCACTTATCAAGAGACAACCTGGATGTTGCATGGATGTCCCAGAACATTTACCATCACTGACATTTTGAGACCTCAGACCTTTAGGCCTTGGTCTAAAGCAGGCAGAAGCACAGTACCACAGGCTCAGAAAAATTATACCACTGGTTCATGCTGCAACACATGTACCTATTCTCTGTGTATTTGATAACCCTTGCTACTGTTTTGATGTCTATCAAGATGTGCTATTTTAGACTGAATTAAAGGATTACTGTGAATTAGCCACTTTCTCATGATTAGCTAGAAGACAAGACCGGCAACCTCCATCTTCAAATACTAAGACATTTTACAAACATTTTATTTGAGAATGGAAAGCCACTCTATTCAAGCATGTTGGTATGAAATAAGTATCACAGTGAAAAGGTCTGCAATCTAGGGAACTGTTTCCAAATTGACAGTGAACCTGTGAAGCAATCTCAGAAGCACTTTAAAAGATGATGGCAATAAATAATAATGCCATTAACATGAGAAAATACGGGAGGGGTTTACATATTTTAGGGGAGAACAGGTGTTATTAATTGACCATAACTGTCAAATCAATATGCTGAAAATAAGTTGGCTGTGGTCCTACTTCCCCACTCTAAATTTAAGAATCAATGTAGAGATTAATTTACTGAAGTATCTCATAGCACCCTCAACAATTGCAACAGTAGAGTCAACAGGTGTCTTTATGAACATTTGCAAGTTTGTAGAGGTATTTCTTAGCAAAATGTTTCCCTCTCTGGCCATAGCAATCTCAGAGGGTTCATTAAGACCAAGAACACACAGAGCTGCTGCTCAGAAACTGCAGAAGCATAACGTGGGGAGCTGAAACAACATCTACACACATAACTGCGGCGATGGCTTTGACCATTCAGCTTGGGCAGGTAAAGCACAAGAAAGAAAGAGAAAAAGGTATTTGGTGCTACAGATCCTCTTACCGTGCTCTGGGCCTTTCAGTGCTAGCCGAGTCTGGTGGTGGGGAAGGATCTCCAGTTTGACATTATCAGCTGCATTAGCCAAAAACTGCGTTGCTTCCGCCAGTGTACAGTACTCCATGCTGGTGCCATCAATGGACAGAATATGGTCTCCTACATGTAATGCACCGCATCTATATAAAAGGGGAAAAACTTGGTATGATCAGGTAGGCTATTTGCTTGCACAGTGAGTTTTTCTGCCTTCAAACTGGTCATGACAACTATGAACATGTTCTTTTTTTTCGAGAGACATTTGTGTTTTGTAGGCACTGTCACTGGTCAGACTTTAACTCTATTAATACAAACCTTAAAAACAATTCCGTTAATACAGTATATGCCAAGACATCACTCACAGAACTGCAAACTGCAATGGGGTAGCTGACTCTAAAATATATGTGAATGGCAGCAGGATAAAATGAGAAGAGCTTAAGGAGACTCGAATAACTTGGTCACATATCCCTCACACAAGCACCCAGTTCATCATTTTTTGAGTTATAATTCAAACATTTATTAGTACAAAAGCTGTAAATGATGATGAAATTATGCAGTAGTCAAACAAATAATGAAACCAGGGCTAGCATGGTGACTCTAGAAGTGGGGTGGGGAGGGGGCTATCTGCTAAATTTTGCTGCACTTAAGAGACTGGCTACTGGATGAGTTGAGAAATGCAAACACAGCAGTCAGCATCCCGACGTACCAGTCAAGTGGACAGCTCCTTTAATTGGTTACCCCCTGTGAAATGGGAAAAAACAGAGGGAGAAAATTAAAGCATCCTGCACCATTGAACTGGAGAACACCCCTGGATCAATGGCCGTCACTCTCAAAGTTTCTACTGTAGGGAAAAGCCCACAGAGGAGCTGTAGACTCACTGCTACAAGTGGGTGCTACCAAAAGCACCGTTGCTAAAGAGGAGTTACAAGGCAGGGTGACTGGGGACATGCAGGAGGAATTTGCTGCTGAAACATAATATTTAAAAAAAATTCAAGTAGAGATATGAATATAGAAATATATTGTATATGTATAAACACACACATACACACACACACACCCACACACCCCAGAAAAGATCCCACAAATCTGTTGCAAAGGATCAGACCACTGGGGAAAAAATATCTAGCTATAATTTTAATGGTTTAAAATGGTTTTATTTGAAGGTTTAAATGAAGTGGAAATATTACAGCAAAACAATTTAGAAATACAGAAGCCAGTCTTTCTTATACCTCACTTGTATTCTAAAATATCAGTAAAAGAATCCAGACATAAGGAGTTCCATTTCACTGTGCCACAAGAATCAGTGATATATCCTAAAAGAACACTCCAAGGTTGCAAAGCCTCAAAATTTACTTCCCTTGACAGCTGTTCCATACGGTGGGCTTACTTCAAGAATCCCAGTGGGTTACGTTTCTTTTTTTTAAATACTGATCTCTGCCACAGTGTTACATTTAATAGCCAGACTCCTGTGTTGCATAGCGCAAGCAGCCAGTCACGTATTACATGGGGGCTGGCTATGTCACTGACTACTACACGGATGAGCTAAAGGAGATGGAAGTCTTAGACTTGGCAGTCTGGAACAGCTGTCTGACAAAGTGCTAATTTTAAGACATGCAACCTTGAGAGGACCTGGTTCAGTCGATTTTCTCAAAAAAGGGAAGGGTTCCTTTAAAACCAGACCAAACAGAAAAAGAAGTAAAATGGATGCATGGACCTGCAGTGTCAGTTCTCTGTCACACTCACCTGTCTGCAATACTTGCAGATTTGATTTTGTCTATGACAATGACCTGTTTGTTGCAGCACATCGAGGTAGTTAGTGCAACCCCAAGAGCAGCACCAGGAGTTTTGGCAACTTCAACTAGCAGTGGCCCAGAAGCTGTTGCTACTGAATCTGTTAAAATTAGACAACAAAAGATCAGTATTATACCAATGTGGTATTTATGCCATTTTCATGTTTTCCCCACATAAAATCTCCATGGCTATTCTATTTCTCTAACCAGATAACATACCACTTCGAGAAATACTGGAATAGTCATTTAAGGAGTCAATAATCAGCTCTTGATGTTGAAAACTATAAAAGCAAGAGGAAGTTTGTGAATTTGGGATGTCCAAAAGTTTCAGAGTGTGTCAGAATCAGAGATGGATCAGATGAGAGAAACAGGATGTGTTAGTGAAGCATTCTCTTGAATAACTGGAGATAAATATTACCCAAAATTTAAACAGACATGCTGAAAAAACAGAATTAATTTAAAAAGTCAAAAATTATCTGAAAAAAATTAATAAGTGAATAGGTTAGAGAAGGAAGCTAAATGAATTTTCACAAAAGGTAATGAAGGTCTGTAGACGGCAGCTGTAATAATCAAATGAAGAAGATAAAGAAAGGGTCTACAAGAAATCCTTCACAAAAGAAAGGACAAAATGGTGAAAGTGCAGGAGGTGTGACACCTAGAAGTATTAGAAATTAAAGCAAAATACATGTGAGGAGGTTCAGAAGATTCTTTTAACATCGTGCCACTGGACAAAATACTGCCTTACAACAGGACATAGTAAACGATCAACACTGAATACAGAAAACAGGAAAATAAGTTGGAGCAACAGTCATGATTGATGACTTGGTAAGATACTACCCCAGAGAACAAGTGCTAGACACAGCAGAGCAAAAACACAGTAGGCTTCTTCCTAAATGCCAAAACAAAGCAGGCAGGGATTAGGGTGAAGTACACTCTGGACACTGGCTGAGAACTCCTACTAACCAATACCCATTGATCAATAACTCAGTGCAGTAAGATACAGTAAGAGAAGATGTCCTTTAAGGATATTAAAAGACTGAGACAAACAAAGTGCTATCAGAAGCCTTTGGAGGTGCTTTCAATCAGAATAAGAAAAACCGGAATAAATGAAGACTTATGCTGGATCAAAGTTACCAAATGTCCTGTCTGCAAGCAGGAGAGACTGGCATTCACAACATACTGGAACCAGCTGTGGGGATACAAAGACAGCATTCAATTGTGATGTGTCTCAGAAGACACTAAGACAGAAGCTGTGTAAGAACTGCAGCTGGGCTTCCAAGTATGGGGGAGAAGACAGATATAAGATACTCCACTCAGTCTTAAATCTAAAAAATTACAAAACATGTAATACTGGCACAGAAGAGATAGTAAAACTGTATTGGCATACAAAACAATCTATATAATAATACAAGAAATTGAACGAGAGAGTAATGAACACTCAGTGAAGGTGCTCTTCCTCATTAGAGTGTAATGTAGGTAAACTAGAAATTGAGTGAAAAAAAGGTTGGATGGAATAACATACAATACCAGGAAAGTGTCAGTTAATTATTATAGAACTCCTTTCCCCCCACAACTTGAAATAATTTTTAGATTCCTGCTGGTTTTCTTTTTTTTTTTTTTTTTTAAAGTTCAAATTTGAGGGTTTGAAGGCAAGGTTCAGCAATTTTGAAAGTGGTCATTAAATCTGAGTGAACAATTTCTGTACACAACTAGGGTTGAATTTTTAAAGGCTCAACCTTCACAGGCACTACAAAATAAGCTGCTCCACAAACCTGAACTGATCTTTAAATTCTGAGCTAAAAGAATAGAGTCCACCCAGCAGCATTTCTCTCTGGAGCTCCAAGCACTAAGTAGCTTTAAAGCTGGATGAACTGCCCTCAGCAGTCTTTATCTTACTAACTAAAGTTACTAATTTACCTGTCTTCCTCTTACTAACTAAAGAAGGAGTTTATCATAATGAAATTCTTGTCTTAGATGACTTGGTTAAAGGTCTAAGTAAGGCAGGATGCATGCAGTGCCTTGCAAACAGCCAAATAAGCACGTGCAGCAGAGCAGAATTTATGTATTCCCTATTCCCGTTCCTGCACTGAGAAACAGTTATTTTCATCTTGAACATTCCAGTGGTTCCTGGAGCTACACACAAGTTTCACATTTACAAATATATGGGAAGAAGACTGAAACAATATTTGTCATCAGTACCTTGACAGAAGTTTTAACTCATATTGATCCAGAAAATGGCAAAGCCAACTTGCACAAGTTCTTTCTGCAATGGCTGCCTTGAGGAGAGGAAACTAAATGCAAATATCTGTTGAGAATGTGTAAGTCTTTCAAGATGCTGGTCCTTTTTCCTGTTACTTGGGAAACTGCATAAGCACAAGCAGCTTATGCCTGAGTGTTATTTCCCAGGTGCCTGTTGAAATGCACTGGGAACACAAACCAAGGCAGACAGGATGAATAAATAAGATAACTACATTAGAGGAACCAGAAGAGAAGAAATGGGGTGTGTCTGACGGTGGAAAATAAGCACAAGGAAGAGAAAGAAGGCAATAATCAAGCACACATTCTCTGACAGAGAAGAATTAGTTTTTCATGTTGAAGTAAAGCGTGGATATGAAAAATGAATCATACAGGTATAAATTATTCATGTGTGAAGATGTTTCAGTCATTAAGATATTTACACCATGACTGAAGCACTTACACACTATGTTGATTTATTGACTATGTAATTACATAAGATACACTGATGAATATTGTGTGAAAGGCACTCTAGATTTTTGATTTTGTTAATAATTTTTCTCATTTAAGGGTATTGCATCTCAATCACTACAAGAGGCATGATTAAAACCTCCCAGAGGAAGGAGCCTTGCTTTCTGCATGCTAATACATTTCTTCAGCTACATACCAGCACACCTTTTTTATTTGACAGCTTAAATCACTGGAAACAAGGGGTTTTATTCTGGATATAATTTCAAGATATGTAAATATACTATATTTAGTACAGTATAAATAGTGTGTAGTATCATATTTAGAAATTTTTTAATAAAATGAGCAGTGTTACCAACCTCCTTTGCCTCAAAAGATAATCACAAATCATTTTGAAAACTGAAAAATGTATTTTTAACCTGATAAAGACATCACATTATATGTGTTTCGTTATGTCATCAAAAATGTATATATCTGTTAATCCTTACTGATCCTCATGGTATCTGAAATCCAGGTCAATAACTGATGGGTGGTGGAGGACAAAACACCAGGATTCCCACAGTGGGGAAACCAAAAAGGGAGCTGCTTGCATTAGGCAGCAGAGTATCTACATGTGAAACAGTACCTTTAAATGCCCTAGATGGGGAAATGCTCCAGTCATAGCTTGTGATCAATAATAACACTAAATCCACAGGAAACCAAAGCTTTTTAGTCTATGATGCTTTTTATTTTTTTTCCTTTCCAAAGCTTTCCTGTACTTAAAACTGGGAAGTACAGCTACTGAGCTTGTTGAGTGTAGGAACACTGTGCCCTGCAGCTTCTCACTTCTCTAACTGCAAAGTTTGGGCTGCTCTTTTATTTTTTCAAAGTCACGGCAAAACAAGGTACAAATCATTTTTTTGAGCAGCTTAAAAGAGCTTGACACAGAGGAAAGATGTCAAAATAGATTTTGTCTCTACAGAGCCAGCTGGACCAATTGAAACACAGCTTCAGAAGACTGCTATTGACCTCTCCTGGATGCTGCTGTACTTTATAGCAATGATGTGACAAACAAGTGGATATCTTGTTATCTCACACTAATTTTCCAAGCTTCTTCCCTATTAGGTGCTCACAGACTAACCAGGTTTTCACCTTAAAAGTGTATACAGCAGGTCCCTGTAGCCTTCTCTGTTGTGATCCTCTGACTGATAGTAGTCAAAAAATCTGGCAAGGTGCTGGTTCAGATCAGAAAAAATGCATAGGTCCTCAAACCTTGTAGTTCTTGCAATGCAAAGTTTTAACACTTTTGCAGCAGTGCCTTCACAGATCTAAATGTGTTTTACTTATGTTAAAAACAGAAGACAGTATTTTACAGAAATAGATTTTCTTCATCAAAGAAGTGTGCTCTTCTACTCCACACACCTTTTTTTGTTCCCTTCACACATAATCTTTGCAGCCTAAAGGTAGCAAGTAAGGTTGGACAGCTGGACTTCCTGATTTTAGATGTCTTTTCCAACCATAAAGATTCTGTAATTCTAAGTAAAGCAATCTCTCTCTCAGGTAGGAATTCCCTTTTCTCCATTCAGTTCTTGTCAGTACACCTGAAACTTTATGTTCTTTCTCCTTTTCTGTAACCCTAATTTTTATAGCTGCTGCCTGCATGCCTCATGTTCAGAGTAGTGGATTACAGAAGCATATCTTAATAAGTTAAGGAAGATTGTTAAGAACTGGGAAAAACCCTGAAATCTTTGACACTCTTGCCTTTAAGAGCAAAAAGCTGGAACACTTACAGAAAGTCATGATTGAAGAAATCAGTTTCAATCCCCCATCACTCCCAAATGCCTTAGACTGCATCCTTATTTTCCTCTGCTCTCTCTGTTCTTTTTTCAATTCACAAAAATCAATGATCCTTTTCCAGTACCTGCTCAGCAATCATGTACGTGACAGCTCTGATGTACAAGGGACAACACTGACTGCTCCCCAAATAACCTGTTGAGTAAACTCTCATAGATGGACACTCACAAACCTTTAAATGCAGAAATGCACAGGCCTTTCCTTGAACTTGCTTTCTTTAACAAAACCCAAAAGAATGCAGGAGAAGTATGTAAGTGTGTGTGTGCATTTGTGTACACAAGCCAGTGTGAGTTCCAGAAAGGGTCCGATAACTAAACACTCCACTGCAGTCAGTTCTTACTACAGAAGAGTTGAGACATCCCAAGAAGCAACTGTCAGCACTCAGCACACAACCAGAAGGTACTTAAAATCAGCAGTGATGAAACTGATGTGTAAAGCACAGAATAAGCAACAAATCTGTGCCTTTATTTAGTATCTCAGTCTCAGCTGAGAATAACATACAAGGTTGGTTGCCCAGAGAAGTTGCAGAGTGTTTTGAAGAAATCCAAGTGCTTGGCTTTTCCCC